GATAAAGTACCAGTGTGATTCAGGGTTTCACAAGGTACGTGCAATTCTTTTTTTCTGTCATGATCAACAGAACACAGGCAAATTGGCAGGCAGAGGCATTAGCACTTTTTCTCCTCTCTGAAAGACAGTATAAATAGATTGAGTCAAAAGTACTCAAAGCTTGCTCACTCTTGTGAGTAAAGCGTTTTGTTCCTGTAAGACTTGTCATTTCAGAAGAGCATTGTAAGGAACATTCAGAGAAATTTCAGCAAAAGCAGATCATTTTCAGCAGTCATGCAGAGAACGTTGCCCTTCAGAAACTTTGATACTGAGAAGCGTAAAAAAAAGAAAAAAAGACTGTGTGTGACTGGAGGCACACAGCAAGTTGAAACTGATCTGAAGTGCAGCCTCACTGAGCTGATTGTGAGGTGACTCAAGTGCCAGTGACAAACTGGGATCTTTGGTACCGAGACACAGAGCGGATGCAGGTAGTACAGGGTTATCCATATGGAGAAATATTTCAATTTAAAAGAGTACCTGGTAAGTATCTGCCTCCTCTTCATCTAAAATTTCTCCAAACGTGTGGAGAAAAGTACTCAGCCCCTACAGGGCTGGTGCAACCACAAAGATCGCCTTTGGCACTGAGTGAGTAGAGCTCTGAAACTGAGCCTAGTAGCTGGGCTGAAGTCCTGATGGATGCCTGGGGCTTTGATTTGGTGGTTTTGCCAGTGTTGAGCTTTGGAGATTATAGACACTCAAGGTGATGAGGCATTGAAAACTACTAAAAATAATCTGCTAAAGAGCTGTAAGCTCATTTATGCTGCTTTTTGTCTTGATGTTACTAATTGTCATGCTAACTTTAATGACCTTAGTTCTATGAGGCTGGCAGCGATTGTTTTTGAGCTGGGAAGCTTTTACTGAGGAAATAAACTACTTCATTTTCACAATCCACAAAACTATTTCCTGGGTTTACCTTGTAGGAATTTTGCTAGATTCAAAGATTGAAGCACTCATAGCAGGAAGTCAGCTGCGTGCCTTGCTGGTTGTCTGTGCAGAGGACGATCTTGACAAAGACTCTAGGTTCTTCCATTGCAAGGTTTCCAAACAACCTCCAGGCAAATCATGCAGGATAGACTGATTATTCTTAACTTCCCGACAGTAATATTAAGCCCTGTGCCCTCTGGGGAATAGGCTCCTTGTATTGCTTAGCTGTCCAGATAAATGTTTAACTGCCTGCCTGAATTTACAGTAAGATTTCAAGGAGGGTAGCAGCAAATAATTGCACTTATTCACATTACTTCAGAGTCCTTCCATCATTTCAGCTCTGTGAACATTTGAAATGGATTCATGACTGGGATTTTTTTATTCATTAAAGGCTTTTGGAGGGAATAGATGAAACTGTCACAGAATGGGAGCAGTAACAAATGAGCCCGGTAAAACACATACAGACTTAACATGGCCTAATTGTGTGGTACCTTTTTACCACTGCAGATGGGTGTAATTTTTCTGAAGCATCAGCATTGCACAGAAAGGGACCTGTTTCCCAGCAGGAGCAGTCACTGATCTGCTGCTGATCAGACACATAATGAATGCCTAATACACATACATATATATGTGTGTATATATATATATATATTTTTTTTTTTTTCTGCAGTTCAGTAGAAAGCTCAGCAAGAGGGAATGAATAACAGGGCAAATTACACGATCACCGTTCAGTCTTTGAGTACTTCACCTTAGCAAATCATCTGGATCAGAGTATGTGCAGGTGTCCTTTCTTCCTGTCATTTTAGTATCAGAAGACAAGACTTCCTTTTAGTTGCAAATCCAAATACCAATTGGTTTCAGTTTGTCAGGAGACCCCACTAACTAAGGCAGTGGGGGAGTGGCAAGGTGGCACTTGGAGTGCCATCAGCTTGGAGTGATGTTGATAATTTGCCTCGTACTGCAAACCCAAACCTGCAGCAGTGTTTTTGCATCTGGTTGCTGTGTTCTTCAGGTCTAGGCTGGAATGGAGCTCTCCTTTGTGACAAGGGGGGGGAGTCTTTGGAAGCACGAATGAAGGTATAAAGCAGTTCTTGTAGAATGGGACTCAGATATAGCAGCCTGGTGAGTGTTCTGCTAGGAGTCTGTTGAGGCTGTTCCTGATGGCTTGCGGGCAGTGACAGCCTGGACAGTGCATTAAAAGGGCGGCATGTAGGGGATACGCTCTGTCACCTACCACAGAGACAGACTACCAGTCTATATCTCCTTTCTTAGGGATTTTCCTAAATAAGCAGTTGGTAAAACAAAAAAAAAAAGCTCTAGAAGATGTTCCATAATATTAAACCTTGTCACACAAGCCAATAATACATACAAGATTAAAAATATGTATTATGTGAGGTATGTGATCTGATGTACTCCAAGGCAAGTGTTTACTGGATGTCATAACACGTGGGTTTTATATATATATATAAACACATCTTTTTTTTTTTTTTTTTTTTTTTATATATATATATATAACATATATATATATTCTACAGCAGGACTGTCAGTACTTACTAATTTAGTAGTTTGACTCAGCTGATGCCTTCGGTAGGATCCATTTCCTACAAATTAAGAACATATGTATTACTATGGGAATATAGAAAAAGGTACTTATTTAAACTGCAATACTTTCAATTCAGGTTCCTTTGACTCTGAATTAAATATAAATGAATGTTAAATGATGATATTTCATAATATATGAGGCTGGTGACACAAATCCTGTCTCAGGGTGTTTTGTTGTCTTTTTTTTTTTCTTATTATTACGGCTTTTGTAGTTCAAAGACTCTTGTCATAGCTTTGATGTGGGTAAACCTGCTGTGTTGTCATCTCTGGATACTAAAAGCAAATCACAATGAATGCAGGCTGGTGCTGAACACTTATATGGTATGCAGCAGGCAAAGACTGCTTGTAAATTAAAAAAAAAAAAATATATATATATATATATCTATATATATATATATATTTTTTTTTTTTTCTGTGAAAGATGCAATGGTACGAGTTTACATGTGTGATTAGTAGGTTTGTAGCGTATGTAAAATTTTTGGTTGGCTTTTTTTACTATTCCTCCTGTGGTCTATTACGGGAGGTACCAAGATCTGAGGTTCTTGTGTGCATGTGCAGGGGGCGCTGCAAGTCAAGGTTTCTCGCTAACCCTGCTTCAGAGCCACGTCCCCACTGGGTGGAGAGACGCTGTACATAACCTGTACGTATATAAACATATGTATATGTGTGTGTGTATAAGCTCCGTACATCTAAGGCTTCATTTATACGAATAACCTGCAGCTTAAGACTTTTGTGTAGGGGAATATCTAGAAAATACACAGATTGTGCCGGAATGTAGCTTGGATTTCTGTGCTGTTACAGCTTCAAGAAGTTTTTTCCTCTATTCAGGTGTTTAACAGTTTTCCATAAGTGAACCAGCTTTTGAAGTTAGACAAAGAATGTGTTTGAAATAAGAAACCACGTAATGTTTTGATGATATTTTTTGACCATTAAAGTAAAAAGCACATTAATAAAGGAATAAAGCCAGAATACTGATGTTTGGGCCCTAGGATAAATAGTCATAAGGTGAGCAAACGCAGTGGACAAGTACCTCTAAAAGCTGACTCCAGGAGTGTCTTTCGCAGAGTTGCAGGAAGATGCTCCCATGTTTTTTTGGCTCAGGAACTCCCAACCCATGCCTTTAAGGCAGGTGCTCACACCCTTTTCTCCTAAGAGCTGCGCAGAGTTTATGTTTCTGTAAATGCACCCACAGGAGGATGTGGTGAGATGTTTGGGGTGCTTCCTTTTTTTCCCTTTTTTAATGTATAAGCAGGTAGTGGTTAGAGCAGCCACCCAGTAAGTGGGATGGCTGGGCATGATTTAAACCCACATTTCTCATTTCTCACTTCTCAAGCGCACGTGTAACCACAGGGCATCAGTGCTTAGGAAGAGGAGGTGAAAATGGAAGAGGGTTGACTTTGTGGTGTGGAGACCGTGCTCCTGCGTGGCAGTGCATTACGGGGCTGCCCAGGGGCTGCTCCTGCATCCCCACCTTGGTCAATTGCTCAGCACCAGAGGGGAGCACCCTAAAACCCCTACTAACAGACATGGCCTCCTGCTTTATTGCTTGCGCTTGGGAATATATGTTTTTAATCTGATTTGTCTCACATGCAACTTTAGGAATAGGTGTTTCTGACAGGGCTTGACAGGCGGGATTTTATAGGTATTAAGGAGCCCAACCTGCAAGGTGTGTGAGATGTGGGCACCCCTAGGGCCTACCAGCCTTCTGGGTATTATAAACCTTGTAGTTTGGGGTCCAGGTATTTGTCCTCTCAGTAAATGCATTTCTGTATTGTGTGTGTCTTTTCGTGTGACTGCACCCCTCGCACCATGAATTAGTATTTACAGAGTCGCTTTCGGATTCTCACTGCCTTTTGGCTTAGGATGTGTGTACCTTGAGCTCAGCACTGAGATCCCACAAGCTGGGCATGGCAGCATTGGTGCGTGTGGTAATCCTGCAACACCCCGAAAGCCTGATTTTCATTTGTGGCGGTTTTTTGTCGGGACGTGAGCGAAGGACACTATTTGGTGAGAAGAATGTGGTGTAGGTGAGGGCGTTGTGAGGCGGGAGGGCTGTGAGGCGCGGAATGGCGGCCACACGCAGCTCCCTTCGATAGCTCAGCTGGTAGAGCGGAGGACTGTAGAGGCGCCGCCCACGGGAATCCTTAGGTCGCTGGTTCGATTCCGGCTCGAAGGAGCTCGGTTTTGCGCCGCGGGGCCGCCTCCTTTTTTTTTTTATTCCACTTTACGTTATTTTATTAATTTCGACGCCACTTTCAGTACCGGAGGGGTGATCAAAGACACGGGGGGGGCGGGGGGGGGGTGAGCACTCCCCCCACAGCCCCTCCTCCCGCTGCCCGCCCGCGGCTGCCGCGCGGCCCCTCCCCATTCCCCCCCCCCCCCTCCGCCTCCCTCCCTCCCTTCCCGGGCGTCCCGTGCCGCGTGCGGCGGCGGCAGCCAATGGGCGCGCAGTCCGCCTGCGCAGATTCAAACGGCGGCCCGGGAGGGAGCCTGGGCGCGAGATTCGGCGGCAGCCGCCCAGCCCCAGCCCCAGCCCCAGCGCGGGGCCGCGGCCGGCGCTGACAGGAGCGGGAGGAGGGGCCGCGGGCGGACGGGGCCCCGCGCGCTCCGTGCGGGCAGGGCCATGGCCGGGGCTGAGGCAGCCGGGCCGGGCCGGGGCTGAGGGCGGTCGGCAGCTCGCCGCGGATGCCGCGGGGCTCGGCGGGGAGGAGGGGGCCGCCGCCGGAGCCCTGCCCGCCCTCCTCCTCCTCCTCGTCGTCGTCTTCCTCCTCCTCCGGCCGCCGCTGCCCGTCTCCGTCGTCCGGGAGGGCGAGCCCCAGCCCGGGCCCCTGCGGGGGCCGGGGGACGCCGCGCCGCGCCCCGCCGCCGTGGCGGCCCCCCCTATGGTGCGCGCCGAGGATGGCCAAGCGGCCGCGCAGGTGAGCGAGCTCCGAGCCCCGGCACCCCCGCCTCTCCTCCTCCTCCTCCTCCTCGCGGTGAGGCCGAAGGGCCGCCTCGGGTCGGACCTTCTCCTCTGGGGCTCCGGCCCCGGGTGGTCCCGCTGCGGGTTTCCTCCTGCCCGTCCCCAAAATGGGTGTCCCTGCCTTCATGGGGAGGGGGGGGTGTCCCGGGGAGCTGCTCGCTGTGCCTGACCTAAATGGCACGGGGGAGAAACGCGAGGGAGGGACGAGGAGGGAGAAGGATGCGCTGTGCCCATTGCCAGCCTCTGAGCTGCCTCCGGCACCTGGGCTTTGCCGTGCCTTCATCGCCTGGGGGTGCTCCCAAAGTTACAGGCGCCTTCCCCGATGCGAGATCAGCCCCTAAACTAACCCCCATTTTCGGACAAACTGCAAGGGAGGCAGGCAGGGAGGGCTTTGGGGCGCTGCTGGCGTGAGGGACAAAGATGCGGCGGGAGGCGTCGCTTGCAGGAGCCAGCTCCCGGTGTGCTTGGTGCTCTGTCACCAGAGGTTTCCACCCGTGCTGCTGCTGCTGCAAGCGACGGTTTCGTCCTCCCCGAGCTTGATCTCGCCTTATCTGTCAGTGCGGGGCGCTTCGGGGTCAGAACAGAAAATAAAAGCGGCCGCGGATCGCGGGGGAGCCTTTGGGTAGAGCTCGGCAGCCCCAGGGGGATGCTGTGGCGGGTGGCGAGCCCCCAGACGAAATCATCCCAGCTGCCAGTTGGTGCCTTCAAGGTCATGGGCTGAAGCGGGGAGTTAAAAGAAACAAGTTTGGTTCAGCCCCAGATGGACTTAAGTTTAATTTTGTTCACCTGTGCTTGTTTTTTTTTGCATTTGGGAGTTCTTTTTTTTTCTGTGAACGGTTCGCACCTCAGAATTACAAAATAAGCACAACTTGTGTGTGCCTTTAAAGACAGCCGGCACAGCTCGTGCACTGCGTTATTTATTCTTTCAGATTTCTTCATTATTTGAGGAAACTTGGTGCCTGCGTTCCCCTCACGTGGTATCTTAGCCTGGCTCCATAACTGCGAGCGAAAGGTCAAACGAGCAACCCAACACCCTGGAAAGCCTCCTCATAAATCGAAATCCTAAGCAGACGGCCCCAAATATTCCCGTAGGGGTGATTTATACACCCGCTGTGCCCAGCCCCGCACCGGGCTGGCCCCGGTGCCCACGGAAGGTGCCGGCAGCGGAACCTCAGCACCGACCCCAACGGCCGCCGGCCCATCCTACCGGCTCCCTCAGCATTGCTGCCTTTTGTCTTCTGCTTTTCCTATTTCACCTTTTTTTTTTAAAAAAAAAAAAAATCCCTTTTTTAAATCCTCCATCCCTTTTCACCCAACCCAGGGCTGGGTCCTCGAATTAGGTGGTTGTACGGTGGCTGAGCGGGGAGGGCACGTTGACAAAGGGCTTAACCGCCAGGCCAGACTCTTAGGTAGAAGTGGCTTGTGCGGTTTCCTTGGTATAAAATAGGATTGTGATACCAAGATACGCTCCTGAAGTTTGTTGAGAGCCTGTGAGAAAGAGACAAAAAAGAAAAAAGGGGGAGGAGGGAGAGCTCTTAGTTACCTGCGAGCTTAAATCCTATTTTCTTAAGTCCTAAGCCAGTTAAGGCAAAACTCTTACAATCATTGTAATAAAATAGACTTGCAGCTTTTTTTTTTGGTTGGTTGTTTTTTTTTTTTGAGAAAAGGGAACAGCAATATTGACCTGTAGACAACCTTACTGCCTTGCATCTTACTGGCTCCACAGAGTTTTAATGTGTGTGTGTGTTGATGACTACTTCTGCCACATCATGACATTAAGCAGGGACAATCCTCATGAAAGATGTGGTGTAGGATGTAGAAGCAGCATGAGATACGCTGGTTTTGTAAGAATTTGGCGTGTCCTGCCTTGTAGTAAAGCTTTCAAGTAAGTGGTGCTCTCCTGAAGTGACCGTGCACTCGTGTTAGCTGCAGAGCAGATACATCTTGTGAAATAACTCATACACGAGCGGCTGCTCGGCGAGCTGCGGGGGTGAGCTGCACGTCGTGGGTAGTAATTCAGAGCTCTGACACCTAATCAGTTCTCGGGAGACCAGCACAGGTTCATTTCATTACCGGGAAGGGATTTATTTACCTTTGGCTGAAAAAAGAAAGTCATTTTCGAGACTGAGAAGAATTAATAAACGCAGTTTTGAGCATGAACACATGAATTTCGGCTGTCTGTTGCGAAGCACTGACTTACACGTTTAAGAGATGTTTCCACGGAGCATTTCACCGTGCTTCTTTGAAAGGCTTTGTTTGCCAAGGCTGTGAAGGAGGTGTTTCTCCGGTAGGTGGAGCGTGATCTACACGGAGCCACAAGGGCTACCTGGCTTCCTGCCCCTCTGACTCTTACCTTAGAGGGTCAGCCCTGATAGCACAGTTATTTCTTGCTGTGGTATCCCTGTCTTCGAAGCTGGGAGTTGTCTCTAGTTCCTGTAACACCGAGGCAATGCTTTTATTCAAGGCAGGAGACCATTTAAAATCTCAAGCTGATGCTGAATTGCTTGGCAACATTGTTGTGTTTGTTGTATGAGTTAGGGAGACAGAATACAATTGTATCTTTTCAGGCTAGCAAACCCATTCATTTTATATGCTTGCTTATTTAAAGATTCATAAATATGTTACGGAAAGATGATTTTAATATCTTTTGCTTCAGATTTAAGTCTTGACTTGGAATGAGTTATCAGTCTGTATCCCAGTATATGGCCTAGAAACTGAAGTTCATTCTGTTCCTTTGACATAGTGAATATGTCATGTTCAAGCAAATTCCGCGTGTTATAACAATATGTACTGGCTGGGGGAAGAAAGCTTGGAAAGAAAGTTTGGAAAAAAAAATAAGTTATTCAGAGTTATTTTAAACTCAGCTTCTAATATCTTCATTCTTCTGTTGTACTCTGCAGTGAAGAAGAAAATGACCGTCAATACGCAGATCATGACTATGAAGTCCCACAGCAAAAAGGTTTGAAGAAGATATGCAGCAGGGTGAAATGGACCCGGGATGAGGTAATGCTTTATTTTGCTTTAATTTCATTCCTATTCAATATTGCTTGCATGCTGAAATGTGTTATTCTTTAGTATTACATCGAGATAGCACATAGTATTTATTGGCTGAGCTTATGTCTTAACAGGATGAAAGGCTAAAGAAGCTGGTGGAACAAAATGGTACAGATGATTGGGCTTTCATTGCTAGTCATCTACAAGTAAGTTGAATCTTTGCTTCAGTTAAGTTCCTCTCTAATATTTATTTGTTTCAGTCATAACTCTAGTTTGGAATTGAGGTGAAACAAACCAGAAACACTTAGTACTTAAAAATATGTCTATATTTTAAAGGATGCTTGTAATTTGGACTTGAAATCTAGCTCAGATGTCAGAAAACCTTATTAGCTCAGACTGGGACTTGAATGATGATTTGAAATGACTTTTTTTTTTTTTTTTTTTTTTAAAAAAAGCCTATGTCCACACTTGCTGTTTGTTTTTATTGTGGAATATATTCTGACTTTCCAACAGTTAGGAGAGTGGATTGCACCTGAAAGATTGCTTCAAAGAAGCAGGATCAATTTCCTGATCACCTTAGAAAAAGGTGTTTGTATGTTTCTGTTTTGTGTTGCTGTTGTTACAGCAATGTCAGCTTCCCTAACAAATCTTTCCGCCTAATGATACCTTCAGTTGCTATGAAGGAGGTTGGCAGGAGTGGCACAGTGTTGTTACTGATGCTCTTTTGCTAGGAAGATCAACTGGATCTTCAGTTAACAGCAATTAAAGCATTCAGAAGCTGCTGTGGTTTTACTACTATTTGACAAATAAACCCCTTTATTCTGTACAAAAAAGTGAAGATTGCTAGAAGGTGGTTCAAGGGAGGTGATGCAGCCTGTGTTCACCTTCAATTTGTTGCTGCTAAAGCAGAACTGAAATGACTGTATTGCTTTATCCCGTCATACATTTTCGCTTCTCAAAATGTGCTGTAATTTCATAAATGGAAGGTAAAAGCACTACAAGGCTACAACTTCCAAATTTTTTTTGCACTGAAAATAGAAACAGGTAGCCTCTACTGAAAGTCTTTCACAGCTTGTCTTCTCCAGGAAGTGATAAAACCTCTAGTGTGGTTTTAAGCATAGTGTCTAGTTGGGATTAACTTGAAGGTACTGTGCTCAACCTAATTGTAGATGTACCAGTGTTCTGGGTATTTTTTGAGGTTTTGTAGACTGCTTCTCATTTAACTTTGTCTTAGCATGGTAGACAAGCCCAGTGAAATGTTGAACTCAGTACTCGCTATCCAGCAGCTTGCACTGAAGACAGTAAATTAGTGTATCCCAGTGTCATAAGAGGTTTGCTAGTACGCTGTGTTGGGACAGGCTCTTATCTGTATTTTTAGGGATCTGACCAACTACCCTTGTAGTCCCAAACTTTCTTACAGATGCTTTTTAGGGGGTGAAGTGAAAGCTTCTCTTTCATAACTGGGAACAATATTTCAAAAGATCCTTAGTGAAGCTACAGAAAAGCACCATCTGTCCTTAGCAGAAAAAGCAGTGTTGTTTAATTAGTGTGTGTTAGCTAACCTTGATATAAATCTCTTTTCCTTAATGCTGTAGTAAAGAACTGAGAACACTTGCATTCGAGATAAAAAGAACTGATACCTAGAAAAAAGGTCTGAATAAGTCTTTTAATTTGAAATAATATATTAATTTTGGCTAACTAATATTTTAATCTTATGTATTAAAGTTTAACCAGCTACACTGGTCTTCTGTTTCAGAATCGTTCAGATTTTCAGTGCCAGCATCGATGGCAGAAGGTACTAAACCCAGAATTGATTAAAGGTCCCTGGACTAAAGAAGAAGATCAGAGGGTAATGAGAACTAATTGATATTGTGCTCTTTTACTGTAATAAAATTGACATATGGCTGCTAAGAGTGTCTACCTTTTTCTTAGGTTTCATCCCCACATGATGTCTGATGCATCTTGTGACACAGTGAATTACATTACATTATATTTTGCTGTATGTGAAGAAAAAAATGCAGCTGCTTTTAAGCAGATGGAGTGTCTGGTCTGCTCAAGTGTTTCATTTCCCTTTGCTCAGCTTGCTAGCTGAACTCTAGTGCGCTAAGTAGAGGACTTCTCATGGCACCAAAGATCAAAGGTCTTATTTACATCCTTTGTTTCTTGAACCCATCAGACTTACAGGGGTTTGGACTGAGGGAAATTACTTCGTGTTCTACTCTTAAATAAGCTAATAATGGTGGTTTTGATTCCTTCTTCCCACCTCTGTTGATCTGCCCTGCAAATTTCTGCCTCATAAACCTGCACTGCACTTTAGGGAGGTATACATTGAGCTTTCGCATACAGTATTTCAAATCCACTGCTTATTGTCACTGCATAAAACTTGTAAGCTGTTTAAAACCAGTATTTGTCAAATTCTGGTTATGATTTGCCTAATATATCCTTTAACAGTTCTTGTCAGCCTTTTTAAGGAAAGGCTTCTATTGTGTTTAAAAGAGAAAACAAACAGAAACACAAACACAAAAAAAACAACTTTGTAGAGACTGGATGGAGGTTGGAATGGAGGTTCTTATTTCGTGTTGATGCTTTTGAAAGAAGTCAAATCAAGCATCTTCACCAGCTGCTTCTTCCAACTTTCTCATGTCACTTTATGGAATGGATGACCGGAGTCCTGAAACATCCAAATATCTGTTGTCATCAGTATATACTTACATTCTAAACCCAGCGAAATTGGGTTTAATAAACTTTTTTTTTTTTTTAAATAATTTTTAAAAAGCAAAGTCATATTATACCTCTGTAGTCCTACTCTCTTATTAAATTGACTATTATGATCCTTTTCTAACATGGGAATTCATATGTTCTCAGTTTTTTTTTAATTAGGAAAAATTAGGAATTGCATTTATAACATGCTTTTATTTGTGTTCCAGGTTATTGAGTTAGTTCAGAAGTATGGTCCAAAGCGCTGGTCTCTAATTGCAAAACACCTGAAAGGAAGAATAGGCAAGCAATGCAGAGAGAGATGGCATAACCATCTCAACCCTGAGGTAAAAAAGTCTTCATGGACAGAGGAAGAAGACAGAATAATCTACGAAGCTCACAAGCGTTTGGGAAACCGATGGGCTGAAATAGCAAAACTTCTTCCTGGAAGGTGCTTTTCAACTCTATTTGTGTTAAATATTGGAATATGGAAAGCAGTTGTTAAAAAATTCTTTCCAATGTGATTTGCTAGTCAGAGATCACCTGTTGAAACTTGTAACAAGTTCTCTATCTTGATAAATAATGAAACCCTTATCTTTTTAAGATTTTTGCATTTGGTTATGTACTCCTAAAAAGACAGAAAACCAGAGAAGGTTCTCTAGCATCCTGCAGGTTCCTTCAAAATCCTCCTGTTCACTTACAATACATCTAATTTAAAAGAGATGAAAAAGTTCTTGCAGAGCTAAAGAAAGTTCCTGCAAGTAATAGGGGAAGAATGCCTTAACATCCTATGAGTTGATATCAAAGTGCCTTCATTAACATACGTTTTAGGGTGACTTCCTTTTTTTTTTCCTAATTTTTGTGCAACACTTTTTTTTAAACTGGGCACTCAAAAGGAGACTCTAAGTAACCTTCAAAACTCCAGGCTTAGGAATTGTGTATTGCAAATCTTGTTGATTACCATGTAGACTCTAAATTAAGAATGAATTGTATGCGTTGTTCTCCTTATCTTTGTTTTAAGTATGATTGCCAACTTACGTGCTTGTAGAAAACTATTTCAGTGTACAAAAAGTTCAATGAAATAAAATTTTAGCCTTGTACTGTTAATAATTCAATGTTAAGCTGACCCTCTGAATTCAGTGTGTATATTCAGGAGGTGACTGTCTAGCATGTTCATAAGGGATGTCAGCTCTCGTTATGATGGGATAATGAGTCCTTTGGAATGTGTGTTTAAAAGTTTGAAGTTTTGATAAAGTATTGAAGCCATGAATTGCAGGAAATCCTTTGAAGGAATGGGAAGGGAATGGCTAGAATCTGAATAGAATTTCAGGGAGGGAAGATGAGATTGTAAAGACAGAGGCGTTCCTCATTTAGTAACTTACTAATTGAAAATAAACCCAAGATGAGCCTCTTACCTGTAGGTCAGATCCTAGACATGGGCGATGGTGAAGAGTCTAACACTAATGGGATGAAAAAGGGGAATACCTCTTGGAGTTGAGCTCTAGTGAAGCATACCTCTCTCTAATGCCAGTAGTAATATTGCTAGTATTTTTGGTTGTAGTGAATTCATCCTCTACTCTTGCCTAGTATTAAAAGTGATTTCACCATGCTTGTCAAACTGCAGGCCTTTTGTTTCCAAGGGAGTGGCAATAGCTACTGGTCTTTTGCCATGCCTGCTTTCCCCAGACAAAGTCAAGGCACCAAGAGATAGTGGGATGTTCTTCCACAAAGCTCATGTGCAGCTTCAGAGCTGGGAATGCATACTGTCATTTTAGAAAAGATGATTTCAGATGGTAAACCCTGCCCGTTGTGCTCTTATCACACTGCAGGACAGTAGGCTGAGTGCTTTAGCTTGATGTTCTGCAAATTTGTAGTACAGGGTAAATGATCTAGTGATACTGAACACATTGATGTTGTAAGTATCTGAGGAAAAAAAAGTTCCTACCCATGATCATAGCCAAAACCAAGGCTTTCTCTCTTCTGCTCCTATCTTCCTGCAGACTTCAAATTCAATAGAAGGAAGTTTTGAAAAGAGCAGTTTTCTAGTAATTCTGTCAAAAAAAACAACAACAAAAAAACACTGATAGAACTTTCAAAGCTACTGGAGCTTTCTGGATTTGTGGCTTCAGATTAACCCACTTGTAACAAACCCTGTGAACTATGCCATATGTTAAGCTTTCTGAGATACGGAAACCAGTTATTGTTGTGCACTTTCATTTTAGGACTGATAATTCAATTAAAAATCACTGGAACTCAACAATGCGAAGAAAGGTGGAACAGGAAGGATATTTACAAGATGGTATAAAGTCCGAAAGAGCTAGTTCATCCAAACTTCAACACAAACCTTGTGTGGCTATGGAACACTTGCACACTCAGAATCAATTTTACATACCTATTCAGACACATGTAAGTTCTAAATTCAGAATAATTAGTGTTTCCCAGTTTCAAATTGTGTGTTGCGTTTGGAACTAGAAACAAATCTGTAAGAATGAAGATCTGTTAAATATTTTTGTGATGGTATGGTAAGTAATGGTTTCTAAACTATAATAAATATTTTATATGTAATAAACTAGAGCTACTTTTATAGCCTTTTTTTTAAGGGTATGTAAAATGATTTGTGTCTTTTAGATTCCAGCATACCAGTATGCCTCACCAGAAGGCAGCTGTATAGAACATGCTTCTGCTTCTGCCAACTTAGTTCAGGTAAATTGTGTGTTGGAAATGAAGAGACTGTACCATGTATTATACTGTAAAATGAAGAGTAAACACATAGCTTCAAAATGTCTCTAAGTTTTTATCACTCATCTAAATTTCTGTATGTTCCTCTGTAAGAAGATTTTCTGACTCGGTTGATAGATAGTTCTAGATAGGAAAAAAGGAGCTGTCCTCATAGATCCCAGTGCTGCAAGTGGTTTTGTTTGTTGTACTCTTTTTTCCTCCTTAGGAGAGCTTTATTAGATGATAATGAAGGGCACAATATGTTATTTCTTTATGTAGTATGTGGGCACAAGAGTTGTGCTTATTTCTGATAGAAGTATGGCTTAAAACATAGTTATTAGTGAAATATTTAGATAAAAATTACAACCTGTTTGTATTACTTAACTCCTGTGAGATTTAAAGATGGGATTTTACTACTTTATGTATGTATTAAATACAGTATCTGAAAAGATTCCGTTCAAATAACTAAAAGTTATGGCTGTACTTTTTTTGTTCTCAGTATGCTTTATCTTTTGTGACTGATGAACACTTGTCAATCAGCTGAAAACGCTGTTTTGCAGCATTCTGTATACTAAAGCATTGAGAAACTGTAAAGAAAAAAAAACAAACATCAAAAACATATTGGTTCCATTTTGCTTCTTGTTTACTAAGTAATGGATTTGAAATTCCTTGTGTGGTACAGACTAAATGTATATCTTGGCTGGCAATATGACTTCCTAGAAGAATTTTTGTGAGTTTGAAATCAATAAAACAGTTTGACATAGGGAAACATAGATGTTTTGTTTGCACTAGGTGTGTTATATTCGTTCTGCAGAACTCTGTACCTAACTTTAAGTTTCCCTGTGCAGTTCATCTGCTTTGTAGTGAATTTTCTTCCCTGATCTCAGTATATGAATACAAATCCTAGCAAAGCCTCATGACACAAAACTTCTGACACTCTGGATTGTACTATAATAAAGAAATGTTTAAGATACTTGCTGCTCCTTGAAATCCTCCCTAAACCAGGGAGTATAACTAGTCTTGAAGCTCCTGGCATATATTTTCACTTGCCTGTATTTATAGCAGTATTAGAAAGTTTTAGGGAGATTTAAAAAACAAAAACAAAACAAAACAAAAAAACAAAACAAAACAAAACAAAACAAAATAAAACCAGAACATGATTAACTTGTTTTAATTTCTGATAGTAGTGGTAGAATGGTTTGTCGGGACATTCTGACAAGAAACGTTGATTTGAAACAATTTGTTACTTCCTTACATGCTTATTTGAGGGAAAAACAAATCATTCAAAATTGTAGGAAACACATGAGAACACAACACAAGCACATCTATCGAGTTGCCAGTACTGTTGCTTCTATGAAAGGTGGAACTGAATAACTTTTATAGTTAAAAAGTGCTATAGTATACTTAGCATTTATAGAGCACATTAGAAACCATATTAGCTTGTTAACACCAGATTCATCTCCTGTTAATCGCTGGAGTTGATTTACTTGCAAGTGACTACTGTGTTACAAAATATGACGCAGCTGGAATGGCTCTGTTCCAGCTATGTGCAGATGGCTGGTAAAAATGTAGCTGAAGTATGATGTAGATCCTTGCTGTGAAAGGGTGACAGAAGTGCAAAATAGTAATGGCTTCTTTCTTCAATTTTTCAGCAGTCATTTATTGATGATGATCCTGATAAAGAAAAGAAAATAAAGGAACTTGAATTGCTGCTTATGTCAGCAGAGAATGAAATCAGAAGAAAGCGAGTATCATCTGTAAGGACTGTAAATTTCTGTAAATATTTTTATATGCTTTACTGAGATTAATCTTTGGCATGGTCAGGCATGTTTGGATTTGTATGGTATTTTTTCATCTGACCTCCTAAAATCAAAGCTATTGTTCAGCTATAAAACAAACTCTATATGTTAAATAGAAGCAAAATACTTTCAGTGCCACTTTCTAAACTGAAAACAACAGAAATGTGACCTGCAATTTGACACTTACTCCTAATTTTAGGCCTGCAATTTAAATTCTTTCCAAACGGCAGCAAATGCTTGTTGATACCACTGCAATTCAGTTTTATAGATCAGCAACGTCAATTAACTGTACATCAGAGAAAAGTGAAAGATGTATTGGATTTGTCCTATTTGATTTCAAAAGTTTATCTCTGGTCCTGTGTATTATTTTTTGTCAAACTTCGGTGTGTGCTTGCAGTACATATTATCCACATCTGGACATACCAAATACTATATAAATTTGCACTGTACGTAATTTTCATGTGCTTGAGTAGAATGGGAGAAGCTTGCAGATGACAGACGTTTCCTCAGAAACAGAGGGCTGTGAGCAACGTCAAATATTTAACCCAACCTTACTGATTGGTATTTTAGATTACAGGTCAACCTCCAGTTTTATGTGATTGAGCTTTCTCTTGAAACAGTGTGATGTTCTCCTTATACAGTAGAATCCACATTGTTTCTAGATTTTCAGTGCAAACCAGAATCTGCTTCTTGAGCACTAAGTGGTATACTAAAAGGGAATAACCACTTAGAAGTTAAGCAAGCTGTCAGGGTAGAATCTTCAATAAAAATCTGATCATACTGGAATTATTTCACATTTTAGGAAGTTTCTAGCCTTAAAACGTACCTTGTACTTTAGTGAAGATGATTTTGTAATATGCTAATGTTCAGGAACACAGGAAATTTCATCACGGATGGCTTCCAATACAACCCATAATTATCTATGTACGAGCATGCATAAGATATGAATGAAGATTGAGATAAAAATCTGACAGGATTTGAGAATGTTTAGTTGTATTAACATAAGGAAAACACTAACTGCATTCATGCAAACAGATAATTGGTGTTTGAAAGAGAAAAATTTAATAGTTTAGCTTAGTCTTTCCACATACTATTTATTTTCTCCACTTAACAAATGACTCTGTTCAACTTCTAAGTTGAGTAAGGTTAACATATTTCTTTATACTTTTTAGCAAGCTGGAAGTTTACCTACTTGGTCTGGAAGTTTTGTCATGGAAGACTGTGTGCCTAATACACTAAATAGCCTTGGGGAACAAACAAGCGAGTTCTACAGCATGGATGAGACCCAGGGCGTATCTGTTCAGCAGAATTCACCCACTAAGTACTTGGCTGTGGAAGCAAATGCAGTGTTATCATCTCTACAAACCATTCCTGAATTTGCAGAGACACTAGAGCTTATTGAATCTGTAAGTCTGTATTCATTCTAACAAAAAGTTTATTTAGGGACATCAAAACTTTAATGGATATAAAATGTTTCTGTGAATGCATTATTGTGCACTTGTCCGTAGTTTCACCTGGATTGAATGATTTTTTTTATTGCCTGCTTTAAAACATTCAGAGTTTTAGCATTGTGTGGAAGGAGTATAATACAGTATGTGGCTTCTGAAGGTAGAAAGCTGTTAGATAGGTGAGTCGTGAAATAATCTCAGATAAGTCTGCTAGTTTTTGACTGTTTTCTATCTTGCCTCATAGGATCCCGTAGCTTGGAGTGATGTCACCAGTTTTGACCTTTCAGAGGCTGTTGCATCTCCTGTCAAGCCAGCTCCAGTAAAATTGATGCGGATTCAACACAACGACCGGGCTGCAGAGTGCCAGTTTAACGTCGGTATTGTGCTCGATGGCAAAAAACACAATGGCAGTGGTGAGGAAGAAGGAATTTGTTCAACAACCCCGAACGTAACAAAATTCAGCACTCCACCTACTATCCTAAGAAAGAAGAAGAGATTGCGTGTTGGGCAATCACCAGTTAATGAACTGAACGATGGCTTATGTAACGATGCCATCAATGTTGCACTAAAGCATACACCAGTGAAAACACTACCATTTTCTCCATCACAGGTGAGTTTATTTTTAAATACAGCTAAGCTAGGAAGTCTGCAGAGTGTGGATTATAAATTACTTTATCCCCTCGTAATACATTACAGCCTAAACAAATATATTTAAAAACTTCTTAAAACGTGTATATAAGGGTAGATCTATCAAAAAGATTTTTTAAAAGAACATGTTTGCTTTGTTTGGAAAATTAACGTTCGTGCTGGGGGGAATTAATGTCTCAGTTCACTCTTTTTCATGCAAATGGTTGTAGATAGAAGCTTATTGTCTATGGCATAAACAAGCAGTAAGAATTTTTTACAAGTTTCAGTGATGAATACGGCAAATGTCTTGGAGTATAAGTCACAGCTTATTGGGGCTTATCAGTAAAAGCTCTTCTGATATATGTTTATATGTTTTTAGTGCTCAATACAATGGTGAAGCTTTGTCCTTCAAGTTGACTTAGTTTTTCTCTCTTGTGCTTAGTTTTTCAACACTTGCTCTGGAAACGAACAATTTAACCTTGAAAATCCTGCATTCACATCAACACCAATCTGTGGGCAGAAAGTTCTCATTACGACTCCTCTACACAAGGAAATGACACCAAAAGATCAAAAGGAAAACGTTGGGTAGGGTTATGACATTAAGCATTTGATGGTGTTGCTCAATATATGCAAGTTTTTCTAAATGCTGAGAAATTAGTCTACCTGTTTGTGTGCTATGAATGACTTTTAGAAACCCTCACACTTCAATATTTGTGTACTAATGTAAACTGGCTTCCTGTTTTTAATTTAACAGGTGGTTAATTTTTTTTTTCTTTTTTGAAATACAGAACAAAATCCATTTAAAGTTCTTATATACCTGGGGCAATATTTTGGCGATTTTAATACTTGATTCATGGTGGTGGTATCTATTGTGTGAATTAAGGTATTTCTTAAATTGTTTGTTAGATTCATTTTATTAGATTCATGTTATCACATTACTGTTGATAAAGTAAAATATTAAAATGCATGTGTGAACACTTCTCTATGTTTGAATAGTTTTAGAACTCCCACAATTAGAAGATCTCTGTTGGGTTCAACACCGAGGACACCAACTCCTTTTAAAAATGCTCTGGCTGCTCAGGAAAAAAAGTATGGTCCTCTTAAACTTACGGTATGTGATGACATCATTTATTTTCTTCTTTTTTAAATTGTGTCCTCTTGTTTTTGAGATATTGTGAGCCTCAGCATGATCTTGAAAAGCATTTTCAAGCAGCGCTAATGTCTCAGCGAATTTCAGCATTATTCAAGAGAACAGCTAGACCATAGATTAGAAAAAAAATAAAATGTTTAATGTGTTTCAGACTTTCTATGCTGAACAGACTGGCATCCCTCAGTGTAGTATGAAGGCATTGCCTTTTTGAATGGTATTCAGTACATGCAAACACTTGACACACAGTAATCTAGGAGTTCTGACATAGACTAAAACATTGTTTCTGCATTTGTGAGGTGTTTTAAATTTGTGCAGCCGTGCTAACATTGTATCTCCTTCTAGGTAGTAACATCATTGTCTGAGAACCAAGTTTTAATACTTGCATTCTGGTTTTCAAACCACAAAATTATAAGTGAGAGAGGGAAAGGGGGTGTGTTCTCCAACCAGATAACCCTGTAAGAGCAAACTGGAGAAGATAAATGACCGAATGAGTGACTAATTGCTTATTTTAACCGATGTTCACGTTTAACTTGAAAAAATGCACTATCTGAATCTTCTGGGCCATGTAAGAGCTGAGCTGTTTTTTTGCTTTTGGCTCTGCTGTACTGCTAGGATTGAAACCAGATAATTATCACAGCATGCTAGTATTCTGAGCTTTTTTGGATGGGAAGATGTTTAGAAGTGTTATATCCCTCCTACGGGTTTTCTTGAGTGAACTCTAGAATTTTCTTCAATCTAAAAACAACCCCCTAATTTAGGAATTCATGTTTCTTCTGATTCTTCTGGCTGTCACAGAAGACCTTTTTTAGTTGACTATGAATAATGTTACATATTTTTCAATTAATCCAATTTTTGCTCCCTTCTTAGCCTAGCTAAGGCATGCTAATGCATAATAACTTTTGGAATTCAGTAGACATATGCTTTTAAAGTTCTGAAAAAATTCCAGCCAATGTATATTGACTACTTCTTTTTTTGCAAACACAGAAGGTAGCTCAGACTTTGCCACAGGGCTTGGCACCATCTGTGTTACCCTATAGATTCACAGTCTCTCACTATGCAAATGGAGTGGTTTGGCATTTCTGTTTCTGTCCACTGTTAACCTCCTGTTCAAAATCAAATTTTGAGGGCTTAAGGGAATTCTTCTCCTGTTGGTACACAAAGGAGCCATCTGTATGGCTTCTGTGAAATTCTGTACTGTACTTAGGACTATCAATGTCTTATTCAAAGATTTGTGTTACGATTGATATAAATTCCTTTCCCAACAAGAGTCAGACTTTGATAGTACACTTTTTAGTATGTTTGTGTGCATATATGCATACATGTCTTTCTGTGTTTAGTATTTATAAAGAATTTTTATCCCTTTGTCAGTGAGTAACTATTGCTAACAAATGTGAACAAATAGTTCACATCATCTTTGATGCTATCTTGTGTGGTTTTTGTTTTTGTTTTTTTTAGACACAGTGTGCAAGTATATGCTTTATCTGGCTACAAATAATGTGGAGTAATGTGAATTATAAAATCTCTGTAGTCTTGAAATGTTGATCTGTAGCTTATTAACTACAATGGCTTAAATCCTTTATCTGTTATGTTTTGCAAGATCTTTTATCTGGCAGATATAGAATGTGGTAAAAAATAGAAACTAATAGACTTCCTGTATTTTCTCCTCCAATTTTAATTAACTTAGTCGCAACCACTTGCCTTCTTGGAGGAAGACATTAGGGAAGTTTTGAAAGAGGAAACTGGAACAGATATATTTCTCAAGGAGGAAGATGACTCTGTGTATAAAAGCTGCAAGCAGGAGGTAATTTCACAATAATAATTTCAGATAGGAAATAACTGCTTTTCAATAATATTTTACAATCTTTCTTTGCAAAATGTTTATTGCAGCGCAATTCTTCTAAAAAAGTCAGAAAATCACTGGTCCTAGATCCATGGGAAAAAGAAGACCTTGGTGCCCAGCTCTTTGCTGAAGATAGTGGTTTGGATGTACAGGTCGGTATTAAATTATTAAAGAGCATCACTGGCAGCAATATTAACATAAAATTGAATATTTTTCACTGTATCAGCTAAAGGTTAGAATCATAAATCTATGAAATGAAATCACCTTAATGTTGAACTATTACTTTAAGTACTTAAGCAATACTTGAACATTGCTCTTCCATTCATGAATTCTTTCTTTCAGGCCCTCAGGGCAGGGAAGCGGGAAATTTTGACTAGTGAAGTGGTGTGGATGCTTAGCAGGCTTGCCATTACAGCAGCATACTTTCCATGCTGGTTAACTAATAAGCTTTAGCATACACAGTACGCTGAAGCTGTCTGTAATTCACCAAGTAGATGGCATTTACCCCTGTGTTTTGCATGCTTGACGATGTGGTAGGCATGATTTGAGGATACGTAATTGCATATTAGGCAGCATGTTTTTCCTTTTCCCACTTCACATAATAGCAGGATACTTTAAGAAACACCAAGTGTGTGGGAGATAAAGTTTGTGGTTTTCCTCTGCCTGAAGGAATTCAAATAATTCTCCCTCAGCAACCAAGAAATCAGGAGTTCAGAGATGGGACTGTCTTGGTCTTTCATTTCTTTCAAAAGTGGCCCAATATTTTTTCTACTTGAGTGACTGAATAAATTAATCTTTAGTCATGTAGTTTGTGGGAAAGCTTTATTATAATAATAGTTCTTAATTAAGCACTTGCATTATTTTCTGAAAGAGCAAATGTCTATGAATTGCAATCAGGTGTTAAGTGATGTTCAAGAGGTAGGAGATAAAAACGAACAGGTGCTTAAGTCAAACCCCTTTCTGTTTATTGTAGCTGTTTTTCTAAATTCCCTTCTTAAATGCTTCAGACTCCACTACAAGCCTAGGTGTCTGTCTTACCGGGTGTTAGGTGCTCTGCCACCTAGTGGAAATCCTGTGCTTCCCTAAGAACACCTCCGGCTTCTTGTACTCCTCATTGCTGCAGCCATTCAAAACGGAAACAAATATTCAGTGGTCCCTTAGTAACGTCTTGTTATGCCATGCTATATTGTGCATCACTGATGGTCAGCTTATCGAGCCTAAACCAAGATACACAATGAGTTTTTGGTGCATAAGAGACAGTGGATTGGGAGAAATTGCTTTTCCTCTATCTCAGTGAGGGATGCTGATGCAACAGGAACATTGTGTCCTACGAAGAGAGATGGTGGTTTAATACCTGATTTAGAAATCAAAAATGTGCTAGTCCTTAAGTGGAAATTGTGTGCCAGTGGGGAGATAAGTTAGGAGTGAGGTCTAAGGGAGAATATGTAAAGGCAGTTAAACACATTTTAATAGTGTATTTTTGCAAGTGAACAAGTACATACGCCACAGTTACTCTCATCTAATTTCATACTCTTAAACTGTGATATACCTTTCTCCATTTTTGCTCTAGTAAAGCTGGATTATTTTCTTCTTCATTTCCACAAATGTTATCAGCATATGAAACTCTTCAGTGGAACTGCCAATCTAGTGCTTATTTCAGTTCTTAAAGCAGTTCTTCCTTTGATACTGATCTTGATATGTTTTTTTTTTTTTTTTTACTCTAGTTTCCTTGTCCTTACTTTCACAAGGGTTGTACTAAACTGAATTACAAGTGTTGTGTTTTTTTTTTCTTTAGAACTGTTCTGTAGTTACCACTTGGCTTGATAAAATTTGCTCGTAACAGAATGATATCAGCTGTAGCAAGGCTTTATATGGAAGAGAGAAACTTCTACTCAGTAATGCTGAAACCATGCTAGCAGCTAATCATTTTACTGTGCTCAGTATTGGCTGTGAATCCTAGTGTAGAGCAGGCTGGTTCGCTTATGTGGTGTTCATCGCTTCCTTTCAGTTTTTTTTCCTAGGGTCTGTCTAATAGTATTTGCTTTGTTTTCATTTTGGCTTCTTTTCAAGCAGTTGAATATTATTCCAATGAAATACTAATTATTATTCATGTTCCCTACCCGCTTTTTTTTAATAGTCAGAAAATGTATATACTACGTCTTTATTAATGATACCATTGTTGGAAATACATGACAACAGATGTAACCTGACATCAGAAAAACAGGATACAAATTCATCAAACAAAGCAAATGCAGTAATTAAGAAGAAACTGAATGCATGTGCTTCAAAAAATGTCAAAATGGAGAAAGCTCTTCAGGTCTGGTTTCAAAGTATTCTGTTAGTTTGGTTGGCTGGTTAACTATTAAATAATTTATTTTGTCTCTGTCTTGTAACATCTAGAACAGTTCTATTCAGTTATCTTGTTTGGGTCAGTGTTTCCATTATCCATATTTCTCAGAAGTTGGTTGTACGGTCCATGAAGTGTTTGCTCATACCCAAGTTCATTAAATGTGACTCTGATGCTTCAATAAATGCTCCCTGAGATTTAAATATGTGTACTTGTGACGGGGTCAGGATAGCAGAGATGTAGAAAATAGGATTGGGTGCTCAAGTCAAGCACTAAGAAAGTTTGTAGCACTGACTTGTGGCAAACTGAACATCCACAGCACCTACGTTTCTTGAATTTGTCTGGTCCTTGCTTCATAATAATCCCAGTGGGATTCGTTAAGCAGAATTAGTCCACAGGTTCTGTTTGGTAATTGTTCTTGTAAAGTGCCTGTTCTTGTACAACACTATATTTTCCATATCATTAAAACTGTTGATTGGTTCAGCTAGTGGAACCTAGTTTGTGTGTGGGTGCTTGTGTTTTGACCACCAGGTTTAGGGAGAGATTCTCTTTGATTCAGTTGGCACCTGTTCCATTTTGCCCTCTATAAGTTAATGTCTCTTCTCAGAACATCCACTTGTCTGAATAAATCAAGGGGAAAAAAAAACAGGCAAGGCACCTGGAGTCTGATCTTCTGTGTTCCACTTAATTGCTCTAACAATGTTTTTAAGTACAGGTCCAACAGTATTTCTTTCTGATACTTCTTAATGAGAAGGAAGAATAAACCTCCTATAGTTGTTCCAAAACAGAACTAAATGCTGTGAATTGCAGTAAAGGTACACATCTATCTGACTGAGAAGTATGCACTTCTGAATACTTGAAAAGGAGGGCTTATTACTGGATTTGCTAATATTCTTATTGAACCATCTCACTCTTTTCCTCCTTTCTCCTCAGAGAAATTCCCTCTCAGTTTACTGGCTCCTCTAAACATGATGCCTTGCCATGAAATACACAGAAATTCAAATGGCTGATTTTCTCTCTGATTTTTTTTCCTCTGTTACATGTTCCTCTCCTTCCCTCCTGCATGAACTAGAATCTTGCTTTCTTCATAATGCTGCAGTCTGCTAGTGTCAGGTCCAATTTAGAGCTGCTACAAATCAGCTTGAGGTTCAATAACTCATGTAAATGTGCAGGATTTACTTCATGGAAGAAGCAGGACTAGTGGCTCAATTATTCTTCCATTCATTATTTTTACTCCTAATGCCTTTGCCATTTCTAATACATCCCCAAGATGTCTTACTGTTCTTCCACAGCTGTCAGTTTGATTCAATGAAGTCCTTTACAGTATCTTTTCAGCTGCCAAACCATTTTGCCTTCCTTGGTGTCACCAGACAGCTGTCAATAATGTGTTTTGCTGCCTGTTCAACTTAGCATGTTTGAAGGGAAAGATATCCAAAAAGAAGATGACTTAATTAACTTCTCTTTTATGTTTCAATTGTTGAACTAATCTGTTTTTAAGAGCATTTTTGGTGTGTGTTATAGCTTAAAAATGCAACACAGATATACTGCTGCTGAGCTGGATTGGGGGGTGCGAAAGAGCTTTGTCACAGATTTTAGGTATTGTATTGTAGACTAGAATCCTTCACATTAAAATGAAGCATTGCTTGAATTTGATAATTTATTACTACTCTGGAAGGCTGCATGAGACTTATTTAATTCTAATGAAGAAGTGTTTTAGTTAAAAGAAGAATCTTTTTAACGGAATTCTCTTTTATGCAGTCAAATTGTGAATGGGAAGCAGTTGTTTACGGAAAAACAGAAGATCAACTTATCATGACTGAACAAGCACGAAGATATCTGAGCACATACACAGCCACCAACAGCACTTCAAGGGCTCTGATTCTGTGATGGTCACTGCAACTGACAACCGTCTCTTTCCATTGAAACTGACTCAATGTCGAAGGAGATTCCAGCACAATACTTGTGAATTAAGTATTTACTTTGAGACAGTCTGCTAAGGGAAACCTTAAAGCTTCCTTTCTTCTCTTGACTGACAAAGAACAGACATGAAACTCTACCAAGGGATAGTACAACCAGTTCTGCAATGCGTTTCTTACATATTCAAAAAGTAACACCCTGAAATACCATAAAGAATGGTAAAGAGCATTGCAGTACACATCAACTCACAGTTTTTAAGTCTATTTTTCATATTTATTCTTTTGACTTGCATTGCTTTTTTCTGCTAGTGCATTTTTGATATAGAGTAGGTTTATAGGTTGTTAATGGTTTCTGAATGAGCAACATACGTGACTGAATGTGCTTTTGCTTATGTAGCATTTTTCTAGTATACAAAGAAACACAATGGAGAGGTGTAAAAAGGAAGGATAGAAAGTTGCACTACTAATTTTTTGGTATGCTGCAAAACAGTGAAATTAACTACAGTGTTAAATATATTTATTTGCGAATGGTACTTAGAAGTAGGCAGAGGGGGTGAATTAGGTTTTAGTGTAAAGCATCAGTATTTTCTTCATAAATCTCAAAATGAGATGATTGTTGAATGTATTGTACAGTATGTAGGAACAGGGAAAATTTTGTAAATTGGAAAGGAGTCTTTTTATAATTTATTTTCATTTTAAAGCTTAAATGTAGATATTTATATGTATGCAGGTTGTCTAGAAGCCAACGTTGTTTCCTGTTAAAACAGCTGAAATGAAAAAGGACAAGTTTAACCTTAAAGTATGGTATAGCAGAAGAATTACAGAGGTGAAGTGTACAAATCTATACTGTATGTTACATCTACATAAAGATTGCACTATAAACCTTAAATCATGTTGGTCTACAAAATAGTTACAAGGTATACCTGAAATACAGCTACTGGTCCCATACCTTGTTTTAATATATTTAGAAGAGAAGGTTAGGGTCCTGTACGTGACCCAGGAGTACTTTGTCCTGCATAGGAGCTAAAAATTAATGCATTTTTTATCTTTTTTATTTTAGAAGAAACTTGGCACCTTGGATCTCAAAATGGTTTTATCTGCACTTAAGTTTGACCATTATATACTTACTAAATGTTTGAAGAGCAAAGAACATTCTTTTATTTATGAAAATCTTTGTCCTTATTTAAAGTAATACAGGTCACAACAGTTGCTTTAGTTGCCTATTTTAGGTATTTGCACTTATTTTATGTCTTTTTTTTTTTTTTTGAAGGAATGTTTTCATTTGCTTTCGTTGTAGAAATTTTTATGTAGTTAATTTCTAGCAAATTGCAACGGTGTGTTATCAACAAATACTGACAGGTAAATAGACTTGTACACTGTAGTTTTAGCTATTTATAATTCAAACACTCTTCCTCTCCACTCCCGGGTGTGCTGCTACAGATAGTGGCAGAATCGGCTTGCTGCTATGAGAGATGGAAAGAGCGAGCATCATATGCACTGTATGTAAAATTACAAAATGATGTCAGGTTCTCTAGTTAACTTTATGAGATCAACCAGTACTATGCAGGGTGTGGAAAGTATTCCTATCATTTCAATATCAAAGATGGTAGAGAATAATTTATTAATGGAGAATTTTAACGTGATGAGTGGCACAAAGAAAGTAAATGGTTATTCAACTTTTTTAAACATCTCAGAGCTTATACAATCCTTATTTTTAGATTTTTTGATATTAAATATTCGCCTGGCTATGATAGTAGTAGGCATAAACATTTTTAGCAGTTTTTAATTCAGATCAAAATTTTTAGGGGGGGAGGGGAATTGAGAGTAATGGGATTGGAAAACACCCATCATGCCAGGATTAACCTCACCTATGAAAGCTGGGAAGAGGCAATTGGAATTCTTGGCAGTACAAGATTCAGATTACCAGAATGGATTTAACCAAAACATTTTATGCTGGAGACTGCATTTAATTCCCAAAGGATGAAATAACACCTTGAGAGAGAATGACTATCTGGAATCTGGATGATATATTTCAGTAGAAGTGGTATCACAAAAACTGCCTATGCCAAGTTTAAGCATAGTTTTACGATAAGTAGTTTTAATTTGTGTTGGTATTGGTTGGATTGTCTAGTTAACTCCTACTTTGTTGCTTTAGCAAGAAGGTTTTAATCTTTGATATGTCAGGCATCTTTTATTACTTTTTGAATGTTGTGTGCATTTGCATTTCTTTCAGTTTATAAGTAGATTGTACATGCAGCAGCCAAACTTGCATGAAAATTCAATACATATTACTCCATTTTTTTGTTTTAAGGTTTGACATAATGTACAACAAATGCTTTGTTTATCTTTGTTTTTGTTGTACTACAACTTTTCTTTTATGTAAGACTCTCACATACAATACAGACCGTATTAATGTCAGAAATAAAGCATCTATGTACCAGGTTACTGCACGTCCCTTTTGTTGGAGAACCGAAACACTTGGTGCTCTTTAAAGCAATGTCTCTGTATGCATGTGCATGTGATGCTGCAAGTAGCTTAACCTTTTCTGGACTGGGCACAGAGAAAAAGTGAATGTGTGAGTCAGTGGGTAACAGAGCAACACATGCTTCAACCCAACCTGCTTGTAAGCCTCAAGCTTTTTTGTGTTCCCATTGTTTATATGGTAGAAGTGATGTTATTCTAATAAGTGTGCTTGGATTGTGGGAGCTAAAAGCAAGAGTAAGCTGTACAGCATGATTTTTTTTTAATACCAGCATGCCTTAATCTGAATATGACTTTGTTTTATCTTGAGACATGGGCATTCATTGCCTTTCCCAGTTTTGTGACAAAATATAAACATTAAAATAAGATTATCTCTTTAAGGAAAAGGATGAGGGACTTAACACAAGTCTATTCATATGTCCTGGTAACTTGTATCATCTACCTTTAGACTGTATTAGCAAACGGGGTGACTTTTACTGGGGCTGTGATAGCCAGACTATGGTGAATATCCTGCAGACCTGCTCATATTTCATAGAATCATAGAATATCCTGAGCTGGAAGGGACCCATAAGGATCATCAAGTCCAATTCCTGGCACCGCATGAAGTTTTCCATTGCTTGAGATAAGTGAGGTAGGCACACTTTTGGCTGGTGGAAATTGGGGCAAAGCACAGGTAGATGAGAGTGAAGTCTCTCTAAGGATGTGGCTGGTGAATCTGTCTTTCCTGTGTCGACCTTGCTCAGTGAAAGTAACCGGAGCAGACGGACAGCCAAACTTGGAGTATGCCACAACACTGTTTGGTTATACGCAGAGTTTCTGAAAGCTTTACTTCAGGGCCTGGCTGTATTTGTAAGAAACAGTCTTTGAAGGAATAGAATAGTGAGAACGAGCCCAGTTCATGCTACTACTAGTCTGGTTTTACACGAGAATAACTCCTCTGGAGTTGTACCAAATTAAAATTGACACAGCACTGTGAGTGAATCAAGCTTCAAGAAAGAAGAGCCTTAACACTGGATGCTGGCATGACCACAGTGGCATCATGCATGTGACCAAGCTCCACCTACACAATGCAAACAACAAATATTCTGAATCTGGAATTGATTCTGGCATCTAGTTTTGTGGCAAGCATTCTGGTACAGGTTCGGCACAGAGGCAGTAAACATACTAATGTCTCCTAATACTTGGCCTCACTTAAATTTTTTTCTTAAGTTTCCCTGACCTTGGATAAGCTTAAGCTTTGCAGGCTTAAATGCTTACTTTCATTAGGGAGCTGTGGGTTACTGTTCCTGTGCCAGCTGAGCCAAAAGGTTGGTTCCTCTTGGAGCTGCAGCACACCTGGTCTGTGTGGCTTCCCCGGGAGGACAGCCTGTCCCTCCAGTGGGCTGGACTCTCGCCCTGCAGCCTGGGGGGAACAATAGGGCCCTTGTAGTCCTGCCAGCGTGTGTTAGGAGCAGCTTTGGACATTTAGCCCTAATGTTGCAGTTTTGCATAAAGTAAAAATCTGAGTGCTTGTACCCGCTGTGTTACACCTCTGTGGTTACGGAGAAACATCAGTGCAGCAGCTTCTGTTTGCGTCTGGAGTAACAGATGTGCAATATGCCATTCTGCAGCATCAGCCCGGATTGGTTGGGTCGTTGAATTTCATTTTCTCTTTTGCTTCATTGCTGTTTTTTTTTTTCTTTTTTTTTTTTTTTTTTTTTTTCTGTGAGGTGCAGAAGCCAGAGTACTCCTCTAGTGTTGCCTGCTGTTAGACTGCATGCCCCCAGCAATGCTACTGCTATTACAAAATGAACTTTCTCTTCCTGCTACTACCTTTTACAGAGATTCAGGTTTCTTCTATGTGAATTTATTTTTAGAGAGTCCCCAGGATTGTTTACCCGATTCCTGCTTTTCTGTGGCTTTGTAGCCTCTGACTACTGAGAAGATGGATGTTATTGGCCTTAGCACAAGCACGATGGGCACGGGCTGTGTGTCGGCTGGCAGTGATGCTGGTCTGTCACTGTCCTGTGCCAAAGTCTGAGGGGAACAGGCGCTTCTGTCTTTCAGGGTGGGCGAATGCTTCTTATTCAGCATTAGCATCCTTGCTTACTATCGCTCAATCTTAGCTGCTCTGCTGGTAAAAGTGATGTTTGGTGGTTGCACAGCCAGCATAGCTCTACATCACTCTGTACTACGTGTTGTGTGCACTGCTTTCCAGTCGTCTGTCCCACAGGGCAAGGACTGCTTGCTCAGTTTTCTGCGGGTACAGCAGTACGCATTAAATAAAAATAAGAAATAAAAATAAAAAAATATATATATAAAAGAAAGAAAACAGAAAACCCAACCAAAACCCAGAAAGCTGGTTGCAGAAGGACCATACTCCTACACAGATATAAAGCAGCGGCAGGGCAGCCGGGTGCATCCGAGGCCCGTGATTTACAAGTGAATGCCATCTTCTCCCGAGCCATACGGAAAGGGAAGGGAGCGAGCCTCGGCGGTGTCTGGAGGGCCCGCAGCACCAGAAGTAGGCCAGTTTGTGCCTCGCCCTGCGCTGGCAAACGGCCAGGCTTTGTGTACTCCAGACACCAGATGGGAAGCAATTAGGAGTGTGACAAGCAGGTCATCTGGCAGACACTCCGCGGACCTGCTGCCGCATAATTTTTGGCGGGAAGGGGAAAAAGCTTTTTCTTCTCTCCCCCCTTTTTGTTGCTAATGCCACCTCGCTCCTGACGGCGCCCTTCAGAGAAGGCGCACGGGCTGGGCACGGAGCGCCCCGTGGGTGCCGAGTTGTCGCTCCCTCTGTGCCCTTTCCGATGCTTACAACAGCGCAGGCATTTTCGCCTGGCCAGCACCGAGCAGTGCTTACGCCTGTGTTTGTGTGGCGTGCAGTTTGCAAATACTGGCCCACGGTGCTGGCACGGAAGTTTTCCTGCCTTGGCCGAGAAGGAGACCTCCAGCACGGGGTCTCCTCCGGTGCCCACCTACTCCTGCTCCATCATGAGAAAGCAGCACAGCCCTCCTGGGTCCACGTCTGCCAGGCTGGGGCAGGCAGGGCCACGGCGGGCCCTCATCGGCTCGTCCTCAGACCGTGGCCTGTAAAAGAGGAGTTTTGCCAGCCCGGACAAATCAGCTTAGCTGCATCCAGCTGAGGCTGACAATGCGGCCCCGCCGCTGACAGCGTGTGGCTAATTGCGTCGGGGGACGTGTAAAATGTGCTGCTTGTTCCAGCGCTTTTGTGCCACAGGCTGGGGAAAAGTGGGAAATGGGGTCTGGGCTGCTCAGTGTCATGCTTTTGGGGAGGCTGGGACATGGCCAGTGCCAGAGCCAAGGGGAAAACTGGAGTTATCCTCAGGGCAGGGCTGAGATCCAGCACTGTAAATAACACACAGGTGAGTTGTTAGGTCTTGAGGCTCGGTCCTGGTGCTAACTCTGCTGCTTGAGACCATGGATGCCTGTGTGGAAGGCACGTGCTGCAGAGGTGCCTGGAGCTGGCCCTGCTTGAGCAGTCACAAATTTACAGGAGTTAAGAAGGAGAAAAAAAAAATAATCACTATAAGGGTGCAAGGTATGACTATGAGAGGATGGGAAAAAAAGGATAATATTCAGTTCGGATCTCCAGAGTAACTGCACAAGATCAGCGGCATGCTGAAGTGACAGCACCTCTGTGCTGTGGCTCCAAAATGCTTGTTGTGGGTCTGCCTGTTGAGCAGTGCCAGTGCCCCGTCTTTCCCCAAAACCTTTTTACCACACAGAAGCTGGACAGTGATGTTAAACCCCCTATTTAGGCTTGATACAAGTGGAAAAAGGTCAGTTCCTGTTCTGATGGGCTGAAATGAGCTGGGAGCAGCCAGAAAAGTGCCACCACACCCTCACTTACCTCCAGTTTCACCCCAAACTTCAGTTAAATACTTTATTCTAGTGCATCAAAAAGGAGATCGCAGAGCACAGGGTTTGGCTCTTTTGCCTGTCAGACACTGGAAGAAGGATGTGTCCGAGTCATCTCGAGGTATTTCCAAGAATACCTGACTTCATGGAAAGTCCCAGCAGCACTGTCCCAGCCCTGCTGGCAGCCAAGTGCCTGCTGTGTCCAGGATGGCACCGCTCAGCCCTGCCCATGAAGGTATTGAATCAGCAGGCAGCAGGCCAGGGGGAACGGTGTGTAAATGTTTACACACAGATTTCTGAACCTCCCTTTTCTCTTTTATTAGTAGTCAGCACTGAAGGCTTCAGCCCTGTTATTTGGGTGTGATTTGGACCTCTGACTTTATCAAGGCAAGGAGGTTTCAAGCCGGCAAGGTGGATATAGGGTGATGCAGGTGCCAGAGCGGTGGCAACCAGACTGTAGCTGCTTTGCAAGGTGCAGCTTGGGTGACTCCTCTGCCACACCGCAGGAGCTTGTCTCGTGTCCTTTGGGGGCAGGCAGGAGTAAAAAGGCACCACCTGAGGTACCACAGGGCCTCCATGCATCTCTGCCTCCTGCTTTGAGACCAGATGCCTGGTGAGGGCCTCACCAGAGACACGACCACCTCAGTGCACTATTACTGAGAGGCTGGGAAACTTTTCCAAATAGCTCCTCTGGTTGTTTATCCAGTCCTGGGGACCATTTCAGTTTCTCTTTCAAAGGGTCTATCCAGGGAGGAGAATGATTAGAGGCTTATTTCTTGTTCTTTTTATTTTATTTTTTTATCATCTCTCGCACCTCACACATGCTGTAGTCAACTAAACAGCTTGATATTTCTGTATGTTTCTATTTATGATGTAAACAATTAAAAACGATTAGCTAAGCTTTGGTTTTTGGTGTCACTGTCTCAGTTAAAATAACAGGCATTGAAAGAGTCAGAGTGCTGTTTAACCCAATTTTTAAGGGTTTGCTATAGACAAATCTTTTGCCAACTTGCTTCAAATCTGTTGGAAAATCTACTTGCCTCCTACTTCACAAGAACAGATGTCAGATATCCAATGTTATGAAGGCTCTGGAATGGAGCTATAAAGCAGTTGCATTTTTCACAGGAAAAGTTTTCTTTAGTCCAAAAAATCCCTTGCAGGACTGTCTGTGCCATCCAACAGCTGAATACAGCCTCACTAGGATTAGCACAACTTCCTGGCTGAAGTGCCTGGTAACTTATGAAGCAGAAGCTTCATAATTTTGTTTTGTTTCTCAGTCCTCGTTGCTGGGACAACTGCTTTGACGGCGGCGGCGTTGCTTCCTGACCTCCACCTTGCTCTCCTTGGTGTGGCGGCGGCAGCAGCAGCAGCAGCAGCGCTGGGTTTTGCAGTGTCAGCTCTCGGCACAGCTGTGCCCAAGCAGGCATGACCATGCCGAGGGCTGGCATCACCCAGAATTGCCCTCTCAGGTGCACAGGGGAAGGACTGGGCATGCCGCGGGGCCTTTTGCATGTCTCTTCTGCTTTACGGTCCAGCGTGCATTCTTCCCCCAAAAAGGGAGCGGTGGGCAAACCGACCATGAGCTGCCTTCTGGCTATTCTGATGCTATGCAAAACGTGACTGTGCAAGTAGGAAAACGTTCGTTTAAAATAAAGTGGAGTAAACTGCGAGGCAGGTGATGCTGCGGGCACAGGGCCTGACCGCCGGGGTGTCTGTGCCTGTTCACCTGCCTTTGCATTGGGCTTGTTTATGAGGCTGCTAAAAATGATAACTGTATTTGTGGTGAATCCAACCTGATCACTGAGAGGAGGGACATCCTTCACATGTCCATCATTTTCAAGCTGATTTGTTCTTCTTTGAACTCGGCTGCTAGGTCTTTTTTTTTTCTCCTTCATCTAACTTTATTAAATATTAATCTCTTTTTTTCTTCCTGAGCACTTTAATTTATTGATCTATGTGCCCCTTAATTGAAATTATAGTTCTGCCACTTAAAAAAAAAAGAAAATGTTTTTAACACCATATAGAGTCGAACCACTCACTTACACACTAACTCTACAGAGTTCATGTTGAAATTTTTAAATCTCTCATAGGGTACGCATGGCTATTTGGCATCTGTATCGTTTGTGGAGTTTGCTTACAGCTTTCTGAGTAGGGATTTCATCTGAGAAATCCGACTTGTTCCACTTTTGTTTATGTATATGAGTCGTGATATTGTATCTTTTCTGGCTGGGTAACTCAGAGATGTGAAATTTGTCATGCAAATGCTGACATTTGCATTATAAATGATATCTGTAAAAAGTGTATGTTATTCCCCAAAACAGAGATGTCTGTGAGCAGCCCATTGAGCAAATCTCTTTGCTGCAGGACCTGAGTGCAAAAGGGGAAGAAAGGCAGGCAAAGCATATCTGAGATTTTTTCATGCATCAGTAGGAATTATTCTATATAGTAGTCTAACTTTAAATTCACTACAGTTTATTTAAATAGAGTGGCATGCAAATAAATGATGGATATTTTAAGGAGTTGCTCTGTCACAAAGATGTTTTTGAAGTGATGAGAAGAAATTAAGAACTATTTTTGGAAATGAAATACAAATTACTGCAAGTGTGATGCTAAACATGGTGAGCTATCCTCACGCAACCTATTTCAGTCATGTCCGTGCCCCAGTTAGTCTCTCTGTAGTGCTGGGGAACCACAAAACCGTAAAATGACAAGAAACGTGTCTGAAAAATGCATCTTCCCATAGATGTTACAAAGTGTGACAAGGTGCATGTGCCAGGCAGTGCCAGCAGCGATGCTGTGAGCTCTGTGTGAAATGGCACAGTTCACGTACGTCGTGATCACCATTTCACATTCTTCTGGTGCTGGGCTGGAGCTGACCCAACATTGTTTTCTGCACATGCTCATCTGGAAATGATACTGCACGTCCACATCCTGAGCCTGAGCCACGCTGCTGTTTTTAGGGGACGGCTGAAGGTCAGGCATTCGTGGTGGAATTCCTAGCAGAGGCCAGGCTGTTCTCCCACTGCCTGCAAAAACGTTGTGCAGAGCCCCGTGGTGTGGGTACCCACCAAGGGTGCACTCCTGCCTTGGTTGTTTTGAACGTAGACTGTCCATAACCAGAGCACCAGAAGAGTTGTGCCTTCTCACGAGAGCTGAGGGGACAAGTCCTTCTCTGAGGGACAGGGTTTGCAAAGTCCAGGTTGGTGAAGGATGCCAACACCATGTGTTTTCTTTCCTTGCTGTTTCTCTAGGTCTTTCCCCTCACAGTCCTCAGTCAGCTCCTCCAGTTCCAGTGTCCCTGTGCCACCCACCTCGTGTTGGGCCTTGTGTTGTGCCTTCCGTGGTTCAGCCTACGCTTTCTGAAGGCCATGAAGGTCTGAGGTAAGCTGAGTGATTTTGCTGCCAACTGGTAGGACTGAAAATAGAAAGTACTCGGTTTTATTTTTTCCTAGGGCCTTAATTACCCTTGAGGAGTCTCTGTCTTGGTGCTCTTATGTGATGGGTGGAAGGGAGGCGACACTGCTCACCTCCCAGGGCCACAAGGAGATTAGACGTCATTGTCCATAGTGCTCTTCTGGTCAGATGAGTAAACATATGTGTGATGTCTAATGCCTGGCTGTGCCAGGGCTTTTCTCTGAGTATCTAATAAAAATGGATGGGTTTTCCACTAGTGCAGTACTGGGACCATTCACAAACACGTAATTACGGGCTCTTCCTGTGGGGGAACAAACCTTGGATTTTTGCCATCAGATATGCATGTTCTTCAGTATGACAAAACCTGCCTTTATTTCTCACAAAAGCCTTCCAAAAAGCTTTTAAGTCACAAAGATCCATATCTTACCACATGCTACGTGTTTCTTTTATTTTTTGTATGAACAGGACGTATTTTATTTGAATCAATAAAATAGGTATCTACTACAATACAAGAAATCTTCAGTGGTTCCTGGGATACAGAGGAATTAATTATGCATCTTGCAAATCCTTCTCAGACACAAATTATAAATTAAATAAATAAGGAAACCATAAATACACATTTCAAGACACAGCAAATTTTATGTAGAAACATTAACCGTCTCTTCTCCATCCTCATACTGCTTAAAGCTATTAATTAACAAAATGAAATACTAAGGTACAGCTCTCAACAGACAAAACTCTTGCTGCCCTGGACTGAACTCTCCAGGCCACATAAGCTACAAGTGCTCAGTGTTAATTACCCCAAATGAAGCAAATGTTCATTTCCCTCTGTTTTTCTGCTTTTTATTTTTGCTTTGCTTAGGGAATAAGCCTAGTTATTAGTGTTCTCCCTACTCCTTGAACGTATGTGCTGCTGTACAAGCGAATAGTCCCACTGAATGCACTAGGTTTACCTATTCACATAAAAATAGCATGTGCCAGCAAGGCCAAGGCCAGTGGCAGGGCTGGGGGCAGGGGAGGGGATAGTGCTGTTTGTGATATTTGTAAAACATATTTCAGGAAAAAAATGGGGATGGCTTCAGCCACGTAGGACCTGATGTTGGCAGGGTTACACTGTCCAGACTATTGCATGTGGGCAGTGGGGTCAGGCTCCAGCTGAAAGGTTTCACATTGCACAGACCTTGGTTTCTCAGGTTGTCAGGCTGTGAACCTTTCCTGTGTACCTCTCCATCCTGCTCACCCCAAAGCCAATGGAGCTGGTTGCTTTTGCAGCCTTTCCCTCCTGCCTGGGCTGCGCCTTGGTAGCTCTGATTTGGTGGCCTTTGGCTGTGGATCGCCGCCCAAGCCTGCACCTCTGTAGGCTGTAATCCAAGGCTCTCTCAGTCCTTCACTGGAAAAGAAACTGGGAATACGTTTTTTCAAAGCCCAAGTTGAAGATATCTTAACACAAGCAGTGGATGAAGTCAGCAGATGCCACAAGTGCAGAAATTACCTGGGTAGTTGTGGTAGGAAGGGAAGGAGATATAACTGCAGTTACACTGCTGGCTGCAGTCATACCATTCATACCTGTGGTGCATCGGTGGCCACCCATTCATTTATGCTTTGGAGCACTGGCAGTTAGATCACAGAAATCATCACTGCTATGAGCTGCAGGAGCCATAGTTTCTCCAATTTTATATTTAAAATTGTGTATTTCAGCAAACCAAAGTCTTGTGCAATGACCAGGGTAGCACTTATGTGAGACAAGTATTGTTCCTGACTAATATAATGTTGTCTGTAATTCTGGTGACATTTTTTGTATTAATTTTTTTTTTTTTTTTTTTTTTTTTTTTTTTTTTTTTGAGGAAAGCCAAGGGACCATGATCGGCAATTTCTAAGTTTGAAAAAATAAAATGGGGGTAGGGGATTCCATTGAATCCACCAGCTCATAAGCAAAGATCTGGTATATGCAAATATCTCACATTTAGTTGTCTACTTGCATCATTTATGTATTTTCTTTTCTACTAGCATTTTGCACATTTAGGAAAATATTCTGTACCACACAGGTAGAACGCAAGTTACTGACTTAATAAGCAGGTTCAATGGAAGAAAGTGTTTCTTGAGGTTATTCAGAAGCTCATTGTTTGAACTGGCAGGGGACTTTAAAGCACCAGTGACTTGCCATGTGGCAAAGTTTGGTAAATCTGTATTTGCAAACTTGCTCCGTTCTGACTCATCTTTTCTTTAATTTTTTTTGCATCTTTTACTCCTGTCTTGAAACATCAAAACTGAAGAAAAAAAGATGTGTAGCATACGTCATTTAACCAAGCAAGTAGTAAGATGCAGTTTTTGTCTCCTTTCTCAGAAGAAAGGATATGAGAAGAGGAAGAGGGCAAGCAGTGGTACACAACGAGCAAACCCCTGGCTCTCAATGGCACTCTGTAACAAAAACAGAATTGTAACCTTGCAGGAACACACAAACATCTTAGCAGGCTTCTCCTGTTGTGAGTCTGAGCTGATTCAGACAGGACATGTACAATAGGTCAGCAGAAGTGTCAGCATCGAGTCAAGACGTACATCTAGTGGGATACTTGGGGTTCTAGTGTATTGCAACAAGGAAAGGCTAGCACACTGCATCGCACTCACCACTTTTACCTTAGTTAGCCTTTCTCCTACCTTTCTGAGGCAATGGCATCAAGTAATGAAAAGGATATAATTTTCCTGGGGGAGCTGTGCTGTGTCTGTTCCCTTATCAATCCTAGAGCACCTTGTCCTGGCTAAAGGAACTTTTGTCTTTCTGAGAGATGCCAAGGCTTGTCAGTCTGCCTCAAAGGCACTGTTTGTTGCCCCCAGGTACTCCGACTTCTTCTTGTGCTTCATCCACATCTTCCTCAGCAGGCTGGGTGTCCCACACAGGTTTCCTCCTGTCAGTGGTAGAGATGCTTCTGCTCCTGGTGGCAGGGTAAGGTCGTACTCTGCCATCTTCCTCAAGCGCTGCCTGTGGCTGGCAAATAAAGCACAGGAGGGCTGGAATAAAGCACTCATCTCTGGGGCCCTCTTTCCGTCTCTATGATGACCAGCCACTGAAACCCATGGGCTGCCCGTTCCCAAAGGTATGGGTGTCCCCATGACGCTGTGACGATGAGCTCAAATGCCACCCAGATCCATTTCTGGGTTAACCATCTGCTGATGAGATGCATTTATACCATGGTCAAACTGTTCCTTAATTACACTCCAGAGGCAAAATGGCAACTTTACATTTTCTGAACTGCCTTAGGACCAATATTATAGACTACATAGGGGGAAATAGTTAAATTTTGGATTTAGATGTATTTTTTTTTTCTAGTGACAGAACTGTAGCTGACACCAGGGTGGCTGTACAACAGCCATGGTTAACAGTGTCATCAATGTGTTCTGCAGCCAATGTCTCCCTCTCTTTGGGAAGAAGCAGGTTTTCTTTGAGGAGGTTTTACAGCTGTGATTCAGAGATCTGTGGCTGAGGAATTCCTTGTGGTCCTGGTGAAGCGGTGCCTGGCTGGGGGATGTCACCCGTTCCCTCCCCACTGGGCAGTGCCCACGCATGGCTTCACCGGGAGACGGGGATGGGAATGGGGATGGGGATGGGGATGGGGTGGGGATGGGGATGGGACTCACTCGTCTGCGAGCGGGTGGTCATCCATGGGGGAGCCTGTAAGAGCCGCTGGCTTCGCTGCGATGGGGATGGCTAGCGATGACGGGGGCTGCTGGGGGAAAAGTAACAGCACTGCTGAGTGGGAACCTGAGTTAGTCTGAGGAAAGAGGCTTTTATTTTTAATTATTTTTTTAAGGAAAATGAATGCATGCTGTAAGTCTCTTAGCAAGAAAAAGCAGGTTAAGGACCTGACTGCTGTATCCTTGCCCACACAACCATTTTACTCACGTGAATGGTCTCTGGTTTCAGCACAGCGGCTGTATGAGCAGGACTTACACCTCCCCAAAAATGTGGAAGGTTAGCAGACCTTTTTATTCCTTAGTTTTTATGCCTGGCTTCTTTTGTTCAGTTCATGTCTATGGCTGCTTTCCCAACCATCACAATTTCTTGAGCCTTTATAAGTGTTTCCCCTGAACTGGATACTTTTAGGTGTGTTCTGTAAGAATCCCAAGACTTTAAGCTGTTTGAAATTATTTTTGCAAATATTCTTTGAAATTTAACCAGGTTAACTGGTGGTAGGTGTAATCAGTTTCATCACATTAATAAAATTAATGCTGTTAATTCTGACCATCCTTAAATATTGGTCATTTTCCTTGAGCGTAGGCCAGCTAACAGCTAGCTGGTATATTGTAGCCATACAAAGAGCATTTGAAACCATAAAGTTTCTGTAGCTTAGTCTAGTGTTGGTCAGAAACTTTACAAAGGACTATTTTCTGCTTAAAAATCTAGTTTTTCTAGAATGTTTTGAAAATTTAAAAACTGTGTTTGAAAATTGTGTTTGTAAGAAAAAGAGGACGAAAATATTTTAGCAAAGCTGAATCATTCTGAACCAAAACATTTTGTCCCTACTACTGAACTAATTTTCAGATTTTGTATGATGACAAATTTTCAGGTTTGTATGATGACAAATTTTCAGGTTTTGTATGATGATTTCCTGTTGACTCTGTATTGACCTTTGTGATTGATCTGATCAACTTTTCAGCATTACGTTTTGGAGTGTGAGAATTATTTGACACTTGTTCCATCTTTGAAACACATCTTTTCCCAGTTGATGAGGTTTCCTGAGGAGCAAGAGGCTAATTCCTCCCAAGTCCTGCCAGGGCTGACCATGCAGGTGCCGGCCTGCCTCCATCACACAGCGCGTCCTCGGTTCAGGAGGGGCATCTCTCCTGTGCCAGCCCCTGCTCCCAGCTGGGTAGCCCCTGGCATCAAGCCTGTCTCAAAGCCTTAAAGAAGCCCTACAAGTGCTGCCACAGGCTGCCACTCTGTTAGTGTGGGACATGTTAACAGGTACCAGGTTTTAATATGCATCAGGCAGTGGCAGTTGGTCTTGCTGTATTCACTTACCAAAGATTTTCTATCTGACTGGTGATTGCAGGACTTGGATGACTCTCGTTCAGTTATTCCCACTGCAAAGTATAAGAAACAGGGCATTATCAGTAGTTATCCCACTGGCACAGCTTATATTAAAAGCACCCTTCTTCTAACACAGTTTTTGTGTACCCTTGATCTCCCCACCAGGTTTGTCCTGTCTAGGAGCAGGGAGTCATTCTCCCTTCTGGGTTGACCCAAGGCATTATTCTTACTCGGACAGCGATGTGTGTGACATCCACCCCACCACAGGGAGGGATTTTAACCTTTCTGTCTGCCTCTGGCTGAGTGGGACCTCCCTCTGCTGTCCTCGAGCCTGGAGGTTAGCTTGCAATTACAGGCGAGTGCTCAGCCAAGGCCTTCTCCCCATGTAAATGCTCACTGACATTCCTGCTTGTTGTGCCAAGGAAAGAAATGAAGAAGGGATTCCAGATTTTTTTTCTCACGGAGCCAAATCCTCCCATTTGGCTGTGGGAATGATGTGGATCTCTCTCTCTCCCCCCCTTTTTTTTCTTTTTTTCTCCCCTGTTTCTTTTCATTCCTGGCCATTTTTAGGTGCCTGCTCTTTTTTAAAAGTGGTATTCAAGTAAGGAAAGAGCACAGACATACAGAAACACCAGGACTCACCAAGATAGAAGATACAATATGATTCACAACTGCTGTTACCAAGGAAATATAAATAATGACTGGAAACCTCAGAAATAGCAGAGATGCTGCTTATAGCACTGTCTCCAGCGTGAGTTAACAGTCAGAAATGTCTTGTCCTTCTGGGGGCAATAGCTGACCGAGATAAATATCTTAACTAGCTTCTCTCCTGCTGCTCTCCCCCGCCAGTAATTCCATTAGGTACCTAACTGTATCCCTCACGTCAAAGTTTAATTCAATTACTTTCTCTCATCTTGTGTGTTAGGTTACTAACAGTATTGGGAAAGTGGCTCCAGGCACCAGTGCTTCAGCTAATATTCCCATTATAGATAACATATATAGTTAGTTACAATATATAATCTATATAAATATTACAAACAATACACATAAACAATATATATATATATTGTCTATTTGTTTGTTTGCTCTTATATTGTCTGATTCTTCCATTCAGCATCCCCCTCTTATTAGATATAGAAAATGCTCTGGTCAACTTTTGCAAAATATTTAAGCAAAAGTAAGTCCCCATGGCTTCAATTAGGTAAGCGCTCGTCAGGACAGGGGTGGCTGGGTGCAGCGTGAATGCCACTTCCAGAAGGTGCTATGGATGGCCAAGCATGGGACAAGGGTTGCTCCACACCTTTTACTCTGACTTTGCCCTATATTTCCAAGATGAGTGCCTGCACAAAGCTGAGTACTTCTTTCCTATAGAATAAACACATTTATACACATATATGTTTAATCTATCCACCCTGTGAAGCCAAGCACAGCTTTGAGGCCTGTCAGGAGTTTATTGTTCTGGCCCTAACCCCTGACCTGCTCCATGCTAGTACAGACTGTCCTTACGCCTTGATATTTGTACAGCATTTCTAATGCTAGCAATAGGCATGCTGATGCTCTCATCTGTACTCTTTGCACATTTCTAGCTTACTGTGAAAATTTAACTGTTTGTTCTATTACCCAGATTTCAATTTGTGCTTTATCAAATCTGAAGTCTGCTTAATACTGAACAATAATTGTCTATGAAGCAAGCCTGGAAAACACCAAAGCCAGAACTATTCCCAGTAAGGACATTGAAGGTTGTTTTTGAGGGTAGAAATTTATGTAGAGGGCACATTTGTAGAGATTAATGCAAACAGATGATGTACATCCTGGGACAAATATATATATATATCACTTTATAACACATTAGGCTGGCTCTCAGCTGTTGAGAAACAGCTGCAAAAACCTTTCTGCACTCTTTCATGGCACCTCATTCTCTGTGTAGATATTTGTTAGTACAAAGCGTACTGAAACCAGAAGCTGTAGCACATCATCCAACCCAAACCGTTCTGTGATCCTTTGATCATAGCAAAGAGCTATTTTTATTTTCATACAAATATTTGCAAACACTTCTGCTTTTCTCCCCTTAAAATGCTAAATTTTGTAGTCAGGTGATCAAAAGTTATGAAGCACCAGAACTGGACCACGGTTATTTTATTCCCCAGAGATCTCGCCATTGAGATTCAGGCTCTAATTTGTGACCAGAAACCATTTTTCCACAGATTGTTCTGCCCCATTCAGTGCACCATATAGAGAGTGTTCACTCAGAAGGTAGTTATTCATCCTCAGCTTTTATTATTCAGTAGATGGTACCGAGTTTTCCCACTAGTGAATCCTCTAAAGGCTAGACTATTCATTTTTATGTGCTTTTCTGTACTGCTGATCACTGCAGTTAACATCTGCTCAAACATTAAAAAAAAATTCAACAGCTTCATAGCCTCCTGGATTTTCCCTATACTGGGGAAACAAAGAGTACTGAATTTAAGATTACAGGTTCCTGGGATGCAGTTTTCAGAGGAATCAAGCAGAATCCAGCATGGTTTGCCATCAAAGTATTGCTTTTTGTGGCAGCTAGAAATGAGTGCTCCTGGGTATCAGAGTCTGAATTGTGAAATGGGCACCCAGAAAACAGGGGATGTATCAGCTGTGTTAGGAGATGTGCACCACTGAGGAACCTGTTGGCAGTCATGGACAGAGCTTAAGAAGCTTTTTCAGGAACTTGGAGATGTCCCACTGCGTTCTCTCTACAGATACCTTAAAGGAGGCTGTAGAGAGGTGGGGGTTGGCCTGTTCTCCCACGTGCCTGGTGACAGGACGAGGGGGAACGGGCTAAAGTTGCGCCAGGGGAGTTTTAGGTTGGATGTTAGGAAGAGCTTCTTTACTGAAAGGGTTGTGAGGCATTGGAACAGGCTGCCCAGGGAGGTGGTAGAGTCACCATCCCTGGAAGTCTTCAAAAGACGTTTAGATGTAGAGCTTAGGGATATGGTTTAGTGGGGACTGTTCGTGTTAGGTTAGAGGTTGGACTCGATGATCTTGAGGTCTCTTCCAACCTAGAAATTCTGTGATTCTGTGATTCTCTGAGCACTTTCTGTGCCAGGATCCTACACATGTCCTCATTACGCTACACAAGCTAAGGTAGCCCTAGAGGAGCTCTGGTGTCCTGAACAGCTGCTCCTGGTGAAATTGGCCTGCATCCTTTCTCCCATTGGTGCCTGCCTGGTCTCTTTTCCCCTTTGCTTCCCCTCACAACAGACACCACAAGCCTCTTCTTTCTCCCCCAGTCCCTCCCTGCCACCCACTGCCTCCCAGCCAGTCCCAGCCATTCCTTCTCCAACCCTCCTCCAACCTCTCAGCTCTTTGTTAAGCCATGTCCTGGCTCCTTTCCTGGTTTCAGATCTTTCCCCACAGTCCCAATCTCAGTTTGTCCCTTTCCCAGTTTCCCAGGCCCTGCTCTTGCCCACTCTGTGCTCAGATCAGGTGCCTTACACACCGTGCAGTTGCAGAGGGGTGGTGTGAAGAACATGCTCGTTCATGGTAGGATCTGCTTTACATATTTAGCAGCTTTTAACAGCTAAACTTCCTATGTCTCTACCAAACATGTGCCATATGGGATTTTTCAAAGTCTTTTAGCTTGGCTGCATCTGGGTGGTTTTCCATGGGAGAGCAAAAGGTGTGTTTTTGATTAAAAGGCCATCCCATGCCAAACGTCATGGCCCTGCTCCAGCTTCCTCCTTCCAAGCATAACACATCAGCACTGAGGGAACTGAACGACCAGTCTGTTTATGTTTATGCATTTCCTTGTTTTTTTTTTTTTTTTTTTTTTTTTTTTTTTTGCATTGGCAAACTCTTTTTTCTCCTTCATGGGTTCTCACAAATATGATGAACAAGTTTGGGTTGAAAAAAAAAAAAAAACACCAAGAAAATCAGGCCCATGGCTGACATCCAGAATCTAAAATTTCATCCCGAATGATTATGTTTTGGCAAATTTTAAGCAACTGAACAGGGATCTTACATAATAAGATGAGTCAGGCAAGCTCAGTTATAAGCAATCTATCATCGCTGCTATACTGTCAGCTCTTGGAAAGGGAGAGTTTATGACTTTGAATAAAGCAAGTGCTGCTTTATTAGGTTGCTCTTGCAGGGAGCAGAGCTCTGCAATGATGTGGTCTTTATCTCATAAATTCCACCGAGTGTTTTAAGCATGGAAGTACCCTTTCTCTACATAACAAAATGTCTGCTTCACTGCAGACTGGAAGACTGCAACGCCTAAAAATGTTCCGAAGCAGTGGAGACAGAGAAGGCGGTGAAGCCATTTCTGAGGACTTACCGTGCATGGTGGTGCAGGGTCCCTGCTGCCCGGCCCGCAGGCGGCCCAAACCCCGCACCTCCTCTTCTCTGTAGAACATTTGGTGGAGATTACCGTGGTGGGGCTGACAGTCAGACACCGCTATCACCTGCAGGGAAGAGGCAAAAACCTCCTGTTAGAGCCAGACTGGGACAGGGCCACCTCTGCACGCCAACAGGGGGTCTGCTGTCAGAGTCCTGATGGAGCAGCCTTGGCTGGGAGCAGTGTGCTGCTACCGCTTTCCTGTCATCATGTTTGGTGGGGACTGGGGTGGGATTCATCTTGTTTGGTTTCTGACTCTGAGCTTGAAAAACACAACTGCAAGGAAAAATGAGGTGTGTTCCCTCGGGGACCCAGGTGCTGAGCTGCAGCTTCCTACATTTGTTTCAAGGGAACGAAGTGTGGCCCTCGTTGTCTTATACTGATTCAGGATACCCCTCTGAGTCAGCTTAGCTTTAATTTCTTATTGCATCATATTTTGGGCAGTCAGTTTGGGCACGCAGCGTGAATTAAAAATGCTATTTCTTCAGGCCTCTCCTGTCTCACCTGCTATTGACATGGAAAAGGCCTCATTCCACCCACTGGTCTGCCTTCTAACAAACACGCCAGGTAAAAACAAGACAGCATTCAGGCACATCCCCTTGCGTTCATAAAATCGTTCATTTTCTTGAAATAAATTTGAATTCAGTGTACTGTTAATGTGCAATATTCTGTGTTTGTGAACCTTCATGCAGATTAAAAACACATGCAAACAGATGTTACCCCGAACAGGAACAAAATAAAAGCCCAAACATGGCCACTTTTTACTTTTTTAGATTGCTTGTATCCTCAGGAGTCTGGTCTGGATACTCATGACCAGCAGGACAAGGAGCAGGAACAGACTGACAGCAGGCAGAAATGCTGCTGCCAAGGGCTGGTGAGGCCAGCAAGCCCTAATCCGAGACCTAAGAGGGGTTTTCTTGTAGTTGGGTGGATCTTGGCAGGCAGCCTAGCGCAGTCCCTTCTCTATAAGCTACTTAAGGTCATGCCCCGTGCTAAGGTAAAGCCAAAGGGCCTGCTGGTGTCCTTGAAGTCAGGCACGTGCAGCAGGTGGGGTCTGGCTCTCCTGACCAGCAATCTGGCACTGCCGGACAGGGCTGGGCAATGCCATCCTGCCCAAAACTCAGGAATGAGGGGGCTGCTGGTGGTGGGAGGCCTCCTCTTGCTGCTCCATCCTTTAGCTCTTGCTCACACTTTGTCATGTTTGGTGTGTGGCTGAAAATTTCTGCAGCCCTCTTCTAGCCAGGCACCTGAGGTCGCTGCTTTTGCATGGTCATGGACAGAGCACTTTTGGTAAGTAGGATGCGGGCTGCAGCAGTCTCTAGTCCTGAAAGTGGCTTGTTTGATCAGTGTAAACCACAAGTGACTTGAAACTTAACAATCTGCCTGTGCATTGCAAGGCATGATACTTAGTTTGAACTCCGTAAATAGCAGGAATTATTTAGGCACGTTATCTGCGTTCTCAAGGTCTCTTGTGACATGCCGTATCAGGAGTGCCAGAACTCCTTCAAGCAACTTTCAGTGCCATTTGCCATTACAGTCAGGGACAGCAGCACCACCTCAGTGAACTTGCCTGTTCGCAGCATTTGGCTATAGTACACTTTGGGAGTTTCTTAACTCCTAATTTGAGACTTCACTGTGACTTTGGCTACCTCACCCATTACTGTAATACATACAGACTTATCTAGGTCAGGAAACTAAACCTGCTGCAGCACACTTTTGATCTAAAGTGGAGCTGACATTTCTCTAGGGTACTTAGGGTAAGGCAGAAGGATCAGCTAGAAGTCACTTTTCTTTTCTAAATGCACTAGGAAATTTAAATCTTGTGTGAATGGCAGAGTCACCCAAACTCTGCCGAATTAGTAAACTGCTCTTGAAATAATTACTGACTTAAACCTCTATGTCATTTGCTCGGTTCATTCTGTTTGCAGAATGCTGACTCTGAATTCAGAGCTCAATAAAATGTCTTTTTTTTAAATTATTTTTATTTTTTAATGTGGACATGCACATGAGGGCACTGAGGCCTTACACACCTGCTGGTGTTACACAGGGGACACAGAGGACACAGGAGCGTTGTAGGACAGTGCGGAGGCTGCTCCAGCAACCCCATCAGCACTTCTGGAACCAAAGTCCCCCAGAAGGGGCCAATTAAACATCTGGGTTTGGGTAAAACTTCAAAGCTCAGAGGCTGGGCTATGAGGTGATTGTTTATAGAGGAAATGTCAGGTTTTTGGAGTTAAGCTCTTTTTTGATGGTCTAATGCTGATCTAATTTTTAATGTGGCAGCACTAGCATACACAGAGGGATTTGCCAGCTTTCTGCAAAGTATTCAGGTACTGTCATCAAGAGTGTTTTTAGAGTTGTAATCACAATACTTGGGGGATAGGAGTGCATGGAAATCAAAAGAAAGGATTTATTGTCACTGAGAAGAACTTTTAATAGGACAAGAGGAACTGCAAATAACAATATTGCTGAAATAATTTTACAAAAGAAGGTGCTTCTCCCTTTCACCCTTCTACTGCCATGATTGTGCTTTTGGGGTGAATTCTCAAATGTCATGGAAGTTACCTTAGGTCAGTCATCTGAATGTTAACTCACTCAGTGCTACACTGCTTGAGTATTTCTGCCATGAAAAAAGTCTGGCAGATGTCCACGTTGCTTGCTATTTTAGCCCTCCTCTAGGATTAAAGTTGTGCATCCACTGCAATCACCAGAGCAGAAGCTCTCAAGTTAGCTGAGGCATTTCTACAGCACTGACTGCAGGTGCAGAAGTAAAAGTGAAAAATAAATAATCATACTGCTACGTTAGTGTGGGTATAGAAATTGGTCATCACAACTTCCTCACAGGCATCTACATTCCACTAGGTGCAATTTATTTAAATGGTTGCACATCAGCAGCTGCATCACACTGAAAAAGAGGAATGCACAAGTCAAAGAGCTGACTGTCCAAATTGCATTGGTTTGCAAGCCTTGCTTATCTGGATCTGCAGACCATTCCTTAGGCTTGGTGCTCCTGCAGCTGATATGATGCTGTGTGCATCATGACTAAGAGCCAGTCAAAGGATATCTCTAATTGGGGTCAGGAAAGCCCCAAAGGAAAAAGAAAATCATACCAAAATACAGCAACAAAATAGGGACTTTCCTCTCTTGTTTTCTTAGACCTTTGTGAATGTAGTGCTGAGTACAACAGCTGACCCAACCCAAATTAAATATTAGAGGCCCCCTACGTGGCAGAAACAATTTTCTGATGAGTTTTTAGACATCATAACAGGCATACGGTTGCCCTAGATTTTGATGAGAGCTAGCTGAAAATTATCCAGCTGAATAGGTTTATGAGAAAGTTCTGATTAGAGGAAATCTGGGTATTTGGTTGGAAAAGTATTTATTTTGTCAAAAAAAAAAAAAACACAAAACAAACAACAAAAAAAACCTGTCTAAGCATTCTGCCTTATTACAACAGTTCACTTTTTGTTTGGGCTTTTATGCTCTTTTTACATTATGTGACAACATATGTGAGAGCATAACAAATAAAAAAAAAAAGTTTCTAAAAACAGCTTATTTTGAGCAACACTGGGACACTGAATTTCATCCTCATTTGGGTCAAAGAGTCACTTCGAAACCTCAGCCTGAGTGACTGGGTGAAAATAAGATTTTTACAAACTGAGAAAATACACACATACGTGTTTTTTACTCAAAAACACGGGAATATTCCTGGCTCTTATTGGGGTCCACTTCAGTATCCTATGAAGTATTTGGGTCCTGTGATCTGCTTTAATAACCAGGAGAGGGGATGGGAGCAAATATGGCAAGTTTTTTCGCAGTGCATGGGTACATGTGGTAAGCAGGGGGACCCGTGGTGCAGTGGGGAGATTAGGGAATCTGGACTATAAAGAGAAGGGTATCTACAAATGGGAATCAGGCTGGTAAGTTGGGTAGAGCATGGGAAGAGGAAAGACCATGGAGCAAAATGTTTCAGCAAAGTGCTAGAGAACTACCTGTGTCTGTAATGAGAAGAAACACTTTGACAGAAGAGTCTTAAAGCTTGTGCTTTAACATGCGCAAGAGAAAGCGGGGCTGTCATGCCTACAAGACAGAACTGCAATAAAAGGATGATGGAAGGGGTCGTGAATAGACTAACTGGGTTTAAGAAAGGAAAATTGGCTCTGAAGACAAGAAAACTCAAATGAAACCGATGTGTCAAACTGTCTAAACTTGGAAAACATTTTCTGAGTGTTCAGATCTTTTACTAATGCTGTTATTACTATTTATTTAATAATAATGCCCAGCAGATATAATCAGGGACAAAAATACTTAGAGACCTATTGAGGAGAACTGCAATGAACACAAGTCACCCATTCAGTGAAGGGAAAGCAGGGAAGGAAGAGAAGAAAACTGAGACTGCATAGCACAGGGCTGTGTTTAGGCATTTTTCTGCCCAAAGCAGGGGCGAGCACTGTGCTGGATGGTAGGGGTGAAGGGAGAGGAGAAAACCATACACAGATGCAAGCTGCTGAGGTGTTTAGGTGCCAGGTTGACCCTGTGCCACCAGGACCAAGGGACAAGCATCCTCCCGTGTCTCCCTTGGAGTCATTTTTTTGACTGGAGGTTACAGCCAATTGCTTGGTGTTTTCCTCCCAAATTCTCAGTGCAATGTGGTACTGGCTCCTTGGTTTATGTGTGTATGTGTTGCTGTGATTTGCTTGTTTTTCTTTCCTGCCTGTCCCTCTGGCATTATTATTAGTGCTTTATGGATAAGAGTTAAGTCTGTGAATCCCTCAGATGACCCGTGTTGATAAGCTATGTTCATTTTGAATAGCTCTGCACAAAGACCTTTTTTTTTTTTTTTTTTTGTTTTGAGGAGGTTCAAAGTAATTCTGTAATAATCTGTATATACAGACTAAATCATCTGTAGCTGTATAGGAACTCCCTTTTTCTCATTCTCTGCATCAGAGATGCAGAGATGCTGAACTTCTTTGCCCTGAACGATCTGCTTCCCATTTCTCCATGGCATTTTGAAAGATTAGTTAAGTAGAATGAAAACAAACAAACAAAACAAAGAGAGAGGGAGAGAAATTTTTCTTACACTCTTGGTTAGGAAGTGCTGCGTACTTTTGGCTCTCCTCCGGGCAGGACTACATGCTGTGAAAAGAACAACAGAAAAACGGTCAGGGTGGGGTGGAGGCAGACATGCCCAAATAGCATGCAACGGTGGCGTCCATTGAAGATGCTGGTGAGGATCTTGCTGGTTTGGGGTGGAAATGGGCACTGCTCTGTTTGGGGTGAAGTGTTAGGAGGCCAGCAGCGACCCTCACCTCAGGTAGGTTTCCTGGCCCGCTGCAGGGGGGCACAAGCTGGGAGAGAGCCTCCAAAGAGGCTCGTGGTGCTTGACACTTGTCTGGTGGCTTTGTGCATGTCAGCTCTTCTCTTAGCCCCCATGCTGGGGGACATAGAAAAGATAAGGGCTGGAGACAGCTGGTGTTGGATAATAACTGATATTATTGGGGGAAAAGAAAAAACAAACAAAAAAACAAACCCACCACCACTACCACCACAACAAAACCTCACCTTCTTTCAGTCTTATAAAGCTACTTCTCATTACTTCGTGGTGCTGTAGCTGTGCTACACCAGTGAGATTAGGTCAAAATCTCTGAAATGCCTCCAAAAGAATGGCATGGTGGGGAGGGGAGGAAAAGAGGGTGTAAGGGGGATTCCAGCTGAAACAACCCAAAAGAAAGTATTTTTTTAAACATCACCACAGAGACCATTTTCTAGCTATACAATGCAGACATCTGTGGGCACAGGGCAAGAGCCTTCCCAAAGTGTCTGCACTTTCCCATGGGTTTCCAGGATGAATCAATATGTGACCTTTACCTACAGGAGGCTGTGTCCTGGCCTGCTGTCTAATGATATTTGGGATAGGGGCTCTTCGGTGTTAGGAGAAACTGAGCTTCTCCTTCCATCCAGCAAGCTTCAACCATGACTAGTATCTACACTGACTTTGGAGAGGTTGATCACTTTATTTAAATACAGATTTATTTTTTTTTTTCCAAAAAGCTCAAATCACTTCATGAAGAAATCTCAGTTTTATCACATTATGTCCAAATAACAACATTTGTGCTACATCTGTTCCTTTTTTTTTTTTTTTTTTTTTTTTTTTTTTCAGCCACAAAATGACCCATTCAGTACTTTAAGTTGATGCGGCATTTTGCTTAAAGTTTTTCTCCATTTGGTTTCTTAAACCCATGAAGACACCAAAATCATAGGCAAAACAGAAACGCTAGCCACAGGACACATGAGAAATGAGGATCATCAGCCAAGCTTTTGACTGGTCATTGCACTCACACAGAAGTGACTGGGTTTGGGTGGTCTTTTTTGGACAAAGTGAAGATTGATTGAACACTTCTTGTTCCAGTTTGACTTGAGACCTGGAAAACTCTGTTATTCTCCCAGCTCTCATTGTATCCTACTCTTTGCATGTTAGAATTATTACCCTCCCCTGTATGCAGGATACGGGAGTTATGGCTACAGGATTTAGCAGCTGGTTACAGAAGGGAGCCTGCAAAATGTGCAAAATTCGGAGCCAGGGTTAACTCTAATTCTAAATGCTGACCCTGTGGGCAAGGCATGTGAAGGGAGGCTTCCCATTCAGGCTCCATCTATAGTCCAAAGGCCTTGAAGCATCAGGAAGGTTTGTTAGGGAGTCACAGGTGACTCTCGCTCTCCAGCTGACTTTGCCTTTACGTTTTTGGCATCCAGGAGCAGCACTGCTCGTCTTTGCTATGCGTTAATGTTCGTGAAGACTTTGGAAGATGTGGAAGCAGCTGGAGTTGGCCCAAGGCTTCTCACTGCTGCTGCGAATCTGAGTTCCTGCCTTAAGGCGATGAGGTGTGGTCCTGAAGGACCTGGGCCTACTACAGCAGCGGTGGCCTCCACAGTGCTGGGCACTTCTGCCCATGCCACAGCCTCTCCTTGGATGGTGTGAAGGAAAACTGAGCAGCTTTCAGGACTGTGGTACAAGACGAGCTGGCCATGGGACCAGAATCACTGTTCCCACACAGCCTGCATTTGTCTAAGAGCTTCCCCTGGCCGTGCAGGACGATGCCAGCAATGACTTGTGGCATCCCATGATTTCTCCCTTGCACACAGGGAAGTCGCCAGCCCCAGAGTGTGTAGGTGCTCAGTCACAGGAATCCAGGCATTTTGGCAATTTTAGTGGGGGAATCTAGGCAAACCGGGAGTCTTAGTGCCTACAGCCACTAGCCCGCAGGTGTGGGGATCTCAGCTTTAGGTAGCTCACCGTTCAGGTACTTTCATGGATCCAGACCTGAAATCCCCACTTCAGATGGGTGGTCTGATTTTCTGCAATGCTGAACACCTGCAGCCACCACTGAAAACCAGACCACCAGTTCAGACACCACAGTGAGGATACAAGTACTGAGCATTAGGACCCCATTAGGCAGAAACAGAATTTTGGCCAAGCTCTGCCCATAGCAGGATAGTAACAAAGGAGGTGATAAATCTTGTCCAAGTCCCCTGCTAGCAACCTGCTGAGGTACAGGGTGCTCACAAACCTATCACAAGCGAGTTATCTGTGTGCACAGAGTTAGTGTGCTCAGCCATCAGCCTGATCACAGCCTGTTTTGAACGGGGTGGTATCCTCAAGGATCCCTACTGCCTTCTCCTGCATGAGTAGTTTTATATTTTAAAACAAGGTAAGCATGGAGTGAAAATTGTACAAGCACAATTTTTTTTTTAATTATTATTTTTTCTTTTTTTTCTTTTTCTGTGAATGTGTTGTAACTTGCTTTTGAAGCTGCTGCAATCACCTTTACTGCTGGTTTTGTACTGTGTGAGGACTACAATCATTCATTGTTCACAGGCAAAGCACTTTAATTAAACTCAAGTGCAGAAAAGTTTAGTGACACAAAGAATCACCTTCATGTCTCTGGTATTTTACTGCCCAGTGTGAGGAGTACAGTTTATATGTATTTCTTCCAGAAGTGAGTACTGTTGTGCTGTTATTGGCACCAGGCTGGTGCACGATGAACCGTGCACTAATGTACTTAATGGTAATAAATTTGCCTATTTTCAGAGTGCGTGCGATCCACAGACTGACTCACTCGCTGCCTGTCATTTGCCAGCATACGTGGCAAATGGCTCACATGGGCTGAAGAAAGGGAAGGCATGAAAGGGAAGTCACAGCACCAGCAAACATGCAATTACTTGAATAGCCATTGAAAGAAGAGTGAATTGCGGAGGTAGACGCGAGTGACCCACTTGCACAGGAATACAATGGCAGCAATGAAAACAGTGGGGTTGCGGGACTCTCCCTGCAAACACGATTTTTCTGCAGGGAGCAGGAGCAGGGAGGCATGGCTGAATTCTTGCAGATGCCGTTTCTGGATTTGCCTGCAAGAGGCTGTTTGTATGTACAGTCCGGATTTCAGGCAACAAAAACAATTACAATGATGGTTCACTTTGTCATTTCCACTTACATTCTGAAATTAAGCAGCTGAGAGCTCAGGCTTGCAGCTTGCAAGTAAAGATCAGATCTGGCCCCACAATTTGTTTTCCCTGCTTTTACCTGCTTTCTTTTTCTTGTTGCTGAAATATGCAGCTATTGAGTTTAAACTAATTTGTTCAATCAAATGCAGACTAGGCTTTGTCCGGTTCTTACTCTTCATTACAAGCAATTAATGTTAATCATGCATTCATTTCGAGGGCATGGCTTTGGAAATGTTCCACTTATTGAGCCAGCAGACTTAAATTCCACATTCATGCAGTTCACCCAGTTCATCTGAGCTGCTAACTGCTCACAGAACTTCATTTTCTTTTCTATCACACAGAATAGCCACACAGTTGCAAGCTGTCACTTTAGCAATTACCTCATAGGTACACGAACACTGACTCCAGATCTCTCCCAATTTTGCCTGTGCGAGGATTTTACACAGCCACAATGTCGAAGCACCTGCATGGATTAGCTCCAGAAAGAAGCAGCGAGCACCGAGCTGGCAGCGCAGCGCGGCGCAAGCAGAACAGACAGATGAGCTGCTCCTTTCAAAGGTTTCGCTAAGGATAAAACCCTCCTTCCATCCAAAAGACAACACCGCGCCCAGCATTATAGTACCGATGTACTCACATTTGGATGAAATCACGGTGGTGAAAACTTCTAAATTTTCGTCGCTGCAGCTGTAAATCTGGTGCATTTTCCACCTCTCTCTCCTGACTGCCTTTCAGCTTCATGCAACTGCTCTGAACTTCTGGTAAATAGGTTTCACTAATCCAATCTGGCTCTGTGATCATTGTCCAGATCTACAAAGGACAGACTGATGCTGTGATCTCATCTCATTCCATATTCTTCATTGCAACATTTTCTGCTCCCATCTGCCTTTTTATGAATACTATTAATGCAAAGATTTAATTTAGCTGTTACTTAAGCCTCTACTCAGATAGGAACATTTTATCCTTTTACCAGTTTGGAGAATCCTCTACAAGAAATGGCTAATAATAAAGTCTGCTCTGTGCAGCTAATGTATGGGCAAGTAAAATTTTACAGAACTGCCGCAAGCTTTTATAAAATGAGTTGGGTTACGTTTTGTGTACTTTAACACATTTATCATAAAATGCTGCTCCTCCCATATAACGAGGAACTGATTCTAAGTGTATTAAGTGTTTGGCACCTCACCTTTTAAGTTTATAAACATCCAAGCATTCCTGGGCATATCAGCATAAAATTTTAAATGCTAAAGAAGGGCATGTCAGGCAGGTATCCATAGGTCTGTATGTTTGTCCCCTATGCTTTAGTGGTTCCTGAGGGAGAGCAGGTGGCTCAGTCAGAGCCAGGTTTCTATATGACTTGAGGGATCTTGGGGCCTTATTTCACATTTATTCACTTCACTATAGGGGTGCCTTTCTAAAGATTTCCAGCTGGTTCCCTCATGCTCCCATCAGAAATTGTTCCTTCCACATCTGTGGAAATTTGCTCCCCTCAAGTTCTGCCACGGACATCTAAGCTTGAAAATGTTGGCTTGCAGCAGCAGATGTAGCAGAAACACTTTCAAGTGCTAACAGTGATATTAAATTATATCAGTCCAGCCTTCATTAATACTGTAATTAGCACAGAAATTAATGCTGTCTGTCTTCTCCTATAGAATCCTGTCAGCAACAGTCCCAGCTGGAACGTGCCAGCAAACGTGGGCTGTCACTGTCATACTGATGTCAGTTCTCTTTGAACAGACAAATATTGGTCAAATACACATCCTGGAAGGAGGCTCTGAGGAAGGTGTCACTGTTTCGAGCAAGAAAGGAGCAGAGAGAAGCCGCTATCACTTGCTACCTCCCATGGCAGCCTCCTGCTGTCCGAGGGCAGGGGATCTGTGGCAGGGGCTGGGGGCATTGTTCCAGGAAACCGTGCGCTGCTTAAAATGGGCAGTGGGACGGCGACATAATCGAGCAAAAGTTCAATTAGTTTTTGATTTATTGTGCCACATGTTCTGCCTGTATGACTGATGCCATTAACATCAGGCCTGGCTGCCGTGTTCATCTGTCTCTGGCCGGCTCTCTCTGAACACGCGCGCGCCCAACAGATGGGGAGTTTCACGGGCTCGAAAGGAATTGTTTATCCCGCTATTGTCCCCGTGTCAAGCAATCAAACCAAATCCACTACCCACCAATAAAAAGATCAGCGCACCGTCCATTCAGCGGTGAATAGAGCAGAGGCGGTTATGCAGGGAGGATTTAAGGCTTTAAAAAGGATAAAAAAAAATAATGAAGAGCAACACTGAATAGTTGACCAAAAAAAAAAAAAAAAAAAGCTATAACACATCTATCCCACCCTTTATTACACCTTTGGTTATTCAGAGTCTGGTGTGAAGAGGTACTTTTGGATCCAAGTCATTGTTTTCCTAGTTGATGATCTAAGGATATTTTTAAACCATAGTCAGTGTTTAATGTTAGAACAAATATTTGGGGTTTCATCATGTTGAAGGGCAGCATGGGTGTGGAAACTGAAGTGAGATTTAAGAGCAAAAATCTGATTACTGCTTTGCAGGTCAGGTTTTGAGCAGGTAGGCTTTGAATAACTCTCCCTACAAGGGGCATGATGCTCTGAGGATGAGCTGCTTTATACAGAGAGCTGACAAAAAGCTCCCACAGCCCTTTCAGACAGAAAATAGGGCTCCAGAGGGCCAACACACTGCATGTTTCCTCTGGGATCATCACCTGGGAAAGAATTTTCCCCTGATCATGAAAAGGAGTTTTCTGCTTCATTCTACCGAGCATTTAAAGAGGTAATCAAGCACTGTGGATGCCTTGGGTTTTGCAGAAAATCTTGATGTGGCTTCAAGAAAAGGACCATGACGCGAATGCCTACTTTTTTCTAGATCTCCACGAGTTATTTTGGACAAATCATCTTGGTTCATCCAGCTACAACAGATGTGATAATACCTGCCAAGAAAGCCCAACTGCATGCAACCTGTTGAAGAACAGCGTGGCAGTAAGTTGAGCCTCAAAGAAGACACTCTCCACAATTCCCAACCTAAGAAGTGCTCGTAGAGTCACATCGGATAGTTTGACACCATCTCCTTCACCTCCTGACTGACTTAGCAAGAGCTCAGCTTGTGAAGGCAGCAGGAAACCAAATGTGCCTGTAGATTCTGTGGATCCTTTTATTTTTTCTTTCCTTGAATTACACTAAATATCTAGAGACTAGGCTATTTTTTTCCTTACTGCTAAAAGAATGTTATTAATTTAATTTGGATGGTGCTGCTACAGCCATGAGAAGATCCCCCCCCCCCCCGAAAAGTTTTCACATTAGGTTGTATCTTTGATCAAAGACTCCGAAGCCGGCACTTGGAATCCAAGTTCCCAAATCCCCAGTCCCAAGTTCCTCCCTGTGGACTGCAGTTTATCTCTATTTACCAAATGCCTTAAATCCCAGTGCTGTCAGTAAGTGATCAAAACAATGCTGGTGGAAGAACCTGGTGACCAAAGGTGAGTGAGGACAACTGAGGAGGAGGAGGACAACTCAGGACACAGCAACAGACATATGGCATCTGGCAAAACATCCACTTAATGTCATCTGCAGGCATGGGACAGGGAAAGTTTGATTTTGGGATGTTGGGAGGGAGGTGTGGGGATGGGGAAGAGACATATGCTGAGGCTGAGATAAAAAAAATTTGGTGAGAACAGCATAAGAGAGCAAACCCCATGGTGACCCAGAAGATATCAAAATGTCACAGTGGGGGGGGTGGCAAGGTTGTTTTTCACATGGACTGGATCTGTTTAGACACATCTGGAAGAAACAACTGCACATGCTTCTCCTGTTTGCCAAGTTTTCCATAGTTTGTAAACTTAAAAGGAATAGAATAAAAACAAATTTTAATTATGTTTGCAAAAAATTAAATTAAAACTTTGAGTGATTTAAGACAAGTATCCGAAACCTCTAGACCTTATTTATTCTGGCCTTTGTAAACAAATTAATGCCTTCCTAATGCAGTATTCTTCCAGTGAAGTCAGTGGGAAGCATCCCTGTATTTTCAGCATACCCAGTTCTGCCAAGGGATTCCCTGGTCATGGGAAGACAAAGCTCTCCCTGGGTCAGGTCTCCGGGCTCTCACTGGATCTTGTACCCTCTTGCGTAAGAGGCGAATCTAATCTGTACTGAGCCACTTGAGCCTATTTCTTACCGATAGCTGGGCAATATGATAAGGATAAACCACAGGTATTTTTGGAATAGGATTGTGAACTCAAATGTGTGCACGGTTAACCATTTAAAAATAAGATGGGATAAAACTACACGTGCATGCTGCTGGCATGTACTCTGAAACGCTTCTGCATGATGCGATGGAAGCGGTAGTCTTTGTGGGGAGGAAGTTGCTTTCAATGGTTTTAAGGCCACAGAATTGCGCTTGACAATGACAAAAAAGTAAAACCAACATCAAGTGCAAAATGTAAAGTCAGCCTGTCATACCTAGCCTGCTATTCTCATTTAAACGAGAGGAAAAGAGAGATGGCTGTGCTATCCACAACTTCACCTCATTCTTACAGCAGTTTGCAAGAGTAGTTTGAAATAAAAGAAACATTGTGCAGCTGAAGGGTCTGTGAATAACTGAAGGATCTTCAAAAGTAACATTTTAATTTGCTGGCAGCTGCTATGACTGCTTTTACCCAAACAGGAGTAAGAGGATTGAGGCATTTAAAACAACATTCTGAGCTTTCATTTCACTGTAGGGGATCAGAAGAGATGCCAATGTTCAGCGGTTTGAAAGGGCTAGTGCACAGACATCTTATCTGGTAATCGGGAAGGGAAACACCAGCCAGATCTGGAAGCCAGGCTGAAAGCATCCTCCAGTAGTTACAGAAGGATACTGCAGGACTCTGAGGAAACAACAACAAAAAGAGCCTGGTTGGCGCCTCCTAAAAAAGTTACATCTAGATAATTGGACATTCACAAATTTGCCCTAAGCTTGTAAAACACACTTGAGTAAGTCCATACAATGATTTGTATGAAGCACAATGCCCAGCCCTGTAAAGTTCAAGTCCCGCATAGCTGGTGCCAGCAGCAAGGATTGCATTGAGCTGGCGTTAATGCTAGGGCCAATTCTGCGTATTTGGGCTGAGCACGTGGAGGCTTAGCAAGCTTTCATACTCTGGACATGCACTGGTAATCCACAGAAAGCATTAAAAATGTCACCAAAAGAGTAGCATGTTTAAATCAGGCTGTGATAACAATAGCTTATTAAGACGCTGAACTTAATTTACATTTATCCTTGATTTTTTCAGGCTGTTTTGAGTTCTTTATTCCCTGATAAGGCACAATCAGTTTGGGATGGGGCACTTTTACTCCTGATGTTTTTCTTTAAAACATTTTAGGATTATTTTGACTATTTTCTCCTGACAAGAACATAACCATTTCTGGACAGACAAGCACCTTGACTAAAGCTTGTTACACGGATGCTGGATTTGTGCAGCTCATTTGCTGCAGCTGCATACAGTGTCTCCCATAACATAGAGGAAAATCCACTGTTTGGATAACCGGGCATGAACTGCTTAGGATTCCTTCCATGGATAAGCCCAAAGACATGAACTGTCACCTTACTTGTATCTAATGTGTCCTCATGCTGCCATCAGGCTCTTTTTACCGCCTGTGCCACACGTGCTCTGTGGGATGAAGGTCTCTGGAGGACAGCAGATTGCATTTCCTTCTCTGGTTTAAGTTCTGGGTGAAAATGAGATTAAGTTTAGAACAAGGAACCTCATTATGGGCACTCAGGTGACCACAGGGCTAGGAAATTCAGAAAAGAGGAATAGG